TAAACACGAGTTGCATTTGACATGCCTGAACGCGACTTACATATATTTACACGTAAAGTTACATATTTTTACACGTAAAGTTACATATTTATACACGCGAGTTACATATTTATACACACGAGTTGCATTTGACCTGTCTGAACGCGAGTTACATATTTTTTTACGTAAAGTTACATATTGTTACACGTAGAGATACATATTTATACACACGAGTTGCATTTGGCCTGACTGAACGTGAGTTACATATTTTAACACGTAAAGTTACATATTTTACACGCAAATGTTAATATGTTAAAATTACATAGACAATACTGATCTCATTTGAAAGATCATGAAAAATAAAAAATGTTGATATAAATTTTATAAAAATCGGATCAAAAATAAAAAAGTTATTACCATTTTATAAAAACAAAAGGAAAAAAAAAATATAAATCCGTATCGATATACGGTGAGCACCGTATACGGGTCGTACGTATAGGCACTCTAACTTGGGGGTTTTTTCTTAATTAGTAACCGGTAATGAATCATATGAGTCGGTACGATTTATCATTTCTCAATTTGATGGGTTCAGCATCGATCAATTTAAAAAATAAAAAGTTTAAAAACAATATAGGTAATACAATTAGAGGAATGAAAGTGAACAATAATTTTAGAAATGGAGAATAAAAGTAAAAAAGAGAGTGAAAAAAGATACGGAGTACTGGGAGTAGTTTGAAAGGGAAGGTGAAAAATGTTTTATAAATTATATATTATTTGTAGAAAATCATTTTGAAATGAATGAGAAATTGTATCTCGAAATTTTCTCTGAAGCAATGTTCGTGTAGGACTTGTCCCGGGTCGTCGCCGCCGTCCGGCTGGATGGACAGGTCAAGTCGGGTTTCAAGTACAGGTGGGTACTCACGTGGCTTTAAAACTTAAACATTATTTTTTGTACAAATTATTACTCCCTCCGATTCTTATTAAAGTTCTCAGTTTGACTTCACACATATTAAGAAAATGAATTTGACTTTACTGTGGAGTGCACTGTTTAGCACTGTTTGACACTATTTGGCACTGTTTTGCATTGTTTTATTTCCTAAAATGAAAGTGTGAACTTAAATAAGGGACATCCCAAAAAGGAAAGTGAGAACTTTAATACGAATCGGAGGGAGTATCAGATTAAAGCAAATTTAAGAGAAGCGTACAGAATTGTAGAGGATTGAACCGAGCCCAACAAATGCTTGTTGTCTCCTTAAGACAACTTTGCCCGCAACAATTGTCTCCCGGGATAGAATGATTTTTCGTTCCCGAAGGACTCCGACGAACCAAATGCTGCACTAAATTAGTGGAATTTGGACGAGGAAGATGAAGAAAGTTTGTTGCAATTTTCGGACTTCTTCTCTAGTGAAAAATGCAGGCCTTCTAATCGGATTTATAGTGCTTTGGCCAGGAGACACAATCCCAAAAGGTGCCTATTAAGAAAAGATAGTGACTCTTCTCTTATAGCCACGTGAGTACCCACCTGTACTCGAAACCCGACCCGACATGTCCAGCCATCCGGAAGGCGGCGACGACCCGAGACAAGTCCTACATGAACATTGCTTCAGAGAGAATTTCGAGATACAATTTCTCATTCATTTCAAAATGATTTTCTACAAATAATATATAATTTGTAAAACCATTTTTCCAACAATCCCCCCACATGAATGAGAAATTGGCTTAAGACATAAACATACAAGATTTGACAGAGGAAGATGGGAACTCTGCATAGAGTTAGGTAGTTGTGAAACTTTGAACCTACCTTAGTTAGTGTATTCCATCAGATTTACCGGACAATCGGCAGCACTTTGCTTTGAGCCGTCAGCCATTGTGTAAACCTAGACAATGAATAACACACAGAGCCCTAAGTGCATCTTTGGTTCTCACGTTTGTGTTCGTTTCGGCCTTGAACACCTCCTGATTCAGCTAGTGTTTTTGAGAGTTTATCGTGCACCGGATTATTTATCTTGTACCATAAACTCTCATAGAAGCGGTCTTCTTCCACCAGCATAGGTGATCTCTATGGAAGGTATCATGTCATACCTTACTTAAACGTATCAAGATATAGAGACCACTAAAAGCGTAACTTACCCTAAATGCTCATGGTATGAGTGTACTATATCTTGGCTAGTACCGCCCGAGCCAGTCCACATTTTTGTTTTCCCTTTCAACCTAATTATAAGGCACTCTCAATAATAGGTAGGGTTTCCCCACAGACTTTGAATTGGATCATTGGCCATAGGCCCATCGCTCTCCTTGACGTTTCAACCAACTCTCTCGGTAGAGCTTTGGTTAGCGGATCCGCAATATTTTCTTTTGGTTTAACATAGTCAAGAGAGATGATCTCATTTTTATTAGTTTTTTAACAGTATTATGTCTACACCAGTTGTGTCTAGACTTACCGTTATAAACATCATTTCTCACCCTTTAGATAGCAGCTTGACTATCACAATGAATAGATATTGGAGGGACAAGTTTTTCCCAACAAGGGAAATCTTCCAAAAACTCTCTCAACCATTCAGCTTATTCACCAGCCTTATTTAAGGCAATGATTTTTGCTTCCATGGTAGATCTTGCAATACATGTTTGCTTGGAAGATTTCCACGACACAACATCACTTCCAAGGGTAAACACATATCCATTCGTTGACTTTGTGTCCTTGGAATCGGATATCCAATTTGCATCAGTAAATCCCTCAAGCACGGTTGGATATTTTTGAAAATGTAAACCATAGTCTTTGGTATACATCAAATACCCAAGAACCCTTTTAAGTTCTTTCCAGTGTTCTCTACCGGGATTTATTGAAAATCGGCTTAGCTTATTCACAGCTTGAGCTATATCGGGTCGTGTTCCATTCATGACATATGTTAAATATCCTATGACCTAAGGATAGTCATCTGGTGATACTCTTTCTCCTCTGTTTTTACAGAGGTGAACACTGGGTTTGATATTATACTTCTTGAATCTCTTAAGCATTTTCTCAATGTAGTGTGATTGAGACAATATCAACCCTTCGGGTGTTGTAGTGATTTTTAATTCCTAGAATTTCATCCGCAACACCGAGATCCTTCATTTTAAATTTCCTAGCCAGCATACTTTTGGTAGCCTTTATCAAATTATTGTTGCTACCAAAAAGAGCATATCATCTACTTATAGACAAACTATGACGTAGTCATTTTGATTTCCTTTCACATACACACATTTGTCAACCTCGTTGATTTTGAATCCATTTGATAGCATTACACTATCAAATTTATCATGTCATTGTTTAGGGGCTTGCTTTAACCCATAAAGAGATTTTACTAAGCGACAAACATTTCTTTCTTGTCCGGGGACAATAAAACCTTCAGGTTGTTGCATGCAAATTTCTTCCTCTAAGTCACCGTTCAAGAATGCAGTTTTTACATCCATTTGATGGATTTCCAAACCCTTCAATGCAGCTATTGCTAATAGTGTTTGCATTGAAATTATTTTTGTAACCGGTGAGTATACATCGAAGTAATCAAACTCTCCCTTTTGGTTGTACCCTTTGGCAACCAATCGAGCTTGTACTTCTCAATTATTTCATCAGTTCTTCTTTTCTTTTTGAAGATCCATTTGCATCCTAGAGTTTTAGATCCAGGAGGCAAATCTGCAACTTTCCAAACGTGATTATACATGATTCCATTATGATGGAATCAATTTCATCTTGATAGACTCTTGCAACTATGCAGCGTCTGGTGAAGACATGACTTCCTTATAATTTTGAGGCTCATCCTCTAAAAGGTACATACAAAATTGAGTCCAAAATCTTTTGATTTTGAGCCCTTTTGTTGCGTCCCACTTCACATTCTTATGTTACTTCATTGTTATCTTTTATAGAATCAAACGATCTCTTGTGTGAGTTTGTTTCTTCAACATGGGATGGAATGAAAACATCCACGTGAAGACAACTTCACGATCTCCCTTGAAAGGAATACATTCTCAAAGAATGCAACATCTCTAAAATGACGAAAAACGTAATACAAACGTAAGGACCAAAACTTAGCTAATGACATCATAGAATATTAGTGAAACAGCATAAAGATGCTTTTTGCTTAAGATTTGTGCCAAAATGACATGAGATGATATATTTGGGACGAAGTTGTGTAGAAATCAACAAGGTTTTGGTCATCTAACTTGGTCCTACTTGTTGCCAGGCGCTTGAACAAATAGAAAACCTCTTCAAGAAAGACAGTGGAGAAGAAATGATTTAGCTGAATATACACATTTTTGTCTATTTGCTTTTTGCTTGATGATACTTCTGATTAGGTGGATGCTCCTATGCTTTCATTTTCGCTTTTAGCTACCCTTTGTTCTCGTCCCAACCATGACGTAATATGAAAATGTGTTTGAAGACTTCAAACTTCTGCTGCATGTGTTATATCCTTGATCCGTTAGTTGGTGTAAATTTCTGTAACAATTTGCTCATAAGTTATGAAACGTGTTCATAATGTCTTAAATTTAAAAGAACGGATGACTTTCATGAAGCTTCTTGTCATAAGTAAAATATTTATTGCGTGGAATAAATCTAAGGATGAGAAAGGTTTAAGAATGCCATGGATTTGATAAAAATAACCTTTTAGGTGAGAGCGTATGGCATAGCCTCACTCAGTCTGTGAAGGGTGATTCAAGCATTTCTGAATCTTTGTCTAAAATTCCCAAATTGCTCTTTATGCCAACAACCATGGCATAATTCTACATATCTGCATTTTCTTGCAAGTCAAATATGAGTATTCTTTGAATATAATATAGAGTGAACTAGAAAATGAAGTATATGGACTTATGCAGCATAGGTATGATCTATAATCTCTAGCACTGAGGTGATGACTTAGTGAGCTACAAAGAAACTTCTCCACTATCATTTACTCTTTGTTAAAGCTTAACACAACAGACCAGACAATATTTTATTAAAAGTTCATGTTACTGTAATTATGAATAGATGGTCAAATTAGGGTCACAAGTGAAGGAACTTTGCTCATTCATTGATCTCTATATAACATGGATACAAACTGCTCAGCTACAGCAAACACCAAACAGGTGAGCAAAATCACAAAGTCTCAAGCACAACACTTGAACAAAGCCTGAAATATACACTTAACAAATTATGACTACCTTCTTGAACTCTATAGTATATCTATAATAACTGGGAGTCTGGGACACAATGCTCTATATAGGTGCCATTTGGAACATTAAGAGTCATGTCTGACCATGAAAGAATTTTACACAAAACCATATACCCATCCTTTTCATTGATCTATGCACACATTAGTTGGGAAAAAAAATGCACTTGAACTAAAAAAACAACCTTTTTGAGTTACAACACTCGATTTCCATCCCCTATAAGATACACATGTACCCATCTACCATCGTCACATATCAACAGCTATACAATGCTCAACTGAGGAACCCTTTAGAACACTAAGAATCACATCCGACCATAAAAGAATCCCACACATATCCCCGTTTTCATCCTTTCCAACCTTAATCTGGGCACACATTATTTCAACCCCTTTGCAACTACTACCATTCCTTTCCCATGTCACACACAACTTCTCCTCAGAATTAGCCATTGTGGCACCACACAAGAATCTCGGTAACCCCTCATCTATTCCCTTCAACTCCTTCCACCCATCTTCCTTCACATCATATCCCCTAATGTTACCACAACAGTCATAGCAATATAATACCTCACCCACCACCGCGGGCCGACCTCTCCACCCCATGTATAGCCGCTTCGGGATAGTTTCCCACCTTCCAACCCCAATGTTGTACACCAACCCACCCCTATCCGCCATTGCGTACAGTTTACCGTCCATTACCGTGCTGGCATGCATCCATTTGTCCTTGATGTCAATCGGGCTGGGCAATGCTGACCAAGAATGGGAAACAGGGTCAAAGATCTCTGCCCAGTTCCTTGAACGGACCCAATTGTCGACAACACAGCCGCCAATCACATATATCCTCCCACCCACTACTCCGGCAGCTGCGAACTCCCTTCCGACCTTCATTCTCGGCCCCATTTCCCAACGATTGAACCAGCAATCGAAAATCCACACCTTGTTGGATGGGATATCGTTGATGGACCCTCCAATTACATAAATCTTACGACCTAGAACGGCAAAAGCGGCGCCGATAGGCGCTGATGGGATTGACGGGAGAGAAACAGCCTTTCTGGGCTCCCAGCACGGGAAGAGGGCGTACAGGTGCAAAGAAGAGTTGATTCGGATGATGAAATAGAGGAAAACCTGAGTGGTACGGAGGGGGGACCGGGCGGTGAAGAGCGCATCCGAACGCACCGCCGAGCTCCATGACTTGCAGACTAGAGAGAGGGTGGGGTGGAATAGAGGAGGGATCCGAGCGAGGCAACGCATAGCGACGTCATACGGCAGGCCGGGGATCAGCTGCAGAGAGGGAAGATCTACGGTGCTCCGGTCAGCCATCGGAAAGAGCTTATGGCCAACCGACCAGGTGGTGCTGTGTTTTTAAATCACGTCTGGTCCACTAGTGTATTTGGATCGGGGTATCTGCGCAGGCTTGGGACCGAACCAGTTTGGTTCTTATACTCCGTATGAAATTAGTGGTTATTATAATAAGTGGTATCCTTACAAAAAATTTAACTAATCATATCGGTTCGGTTCAGTTTTTACTTTAATCGATTTCTAATCACAACTCTTTTTCATAAAAAAATAACACAATTTACTTTCTACAATGCAAACACAAGCAATAAGTACTTTTTGAATATGTTATCACTTCAAACTTTAAACTTCAAATTCAAACTTAATTTATTCAACACTTAATATAATATTTTTGAATTTTGTTTCTAAATAAAATATGGAAATCTTTATTGTTTGATATCATTACAAATCGGGTCATCATAGTAGAATAAGATACGTAGTATCTAATTCAAGTTCTTCAAAACGTAAAAAACATAGTGAACACACAAGTACATATATAAACATCATTACATTTCGAATCTTAGGAGCATTATCTACACTATATCTCACAATTACAATGATCTTGAATATTATAATGGGAAAAAGAATATTGAACCAACACAAATTAATTTGGTTCACTTTTATAGTTATGAAATTTCCGTGATGAAAAAAAATGATTTGTAAAAAAAAGACGATAATCTATTCATCCTCATCTGCTTCCATCAATTAAATTTAAATTATTGTGTGATTACATGTCATTGATTATATTATTACTACTATTATTGTTACTATAACTATTGTTATTGTTAATATTAATATTATTATTGTTATTATTGTTACTATTTATACTTTCAAAATTTTATTTTTTTAATAACGGTTTCGTAGAGATTTTTTTGTATGAACTAGGAACCGAACGGTTAACAAAGAATAAGAACCGAACTATTAACAATTTATAACTCATGTGTAGGAACCAAACCGAACCAGATTTTAACAGTTCGGTTCCAGCACCTTTCCGATTCTTGATTCCAAAGTCCCACCCCTAAGGTAGAGAGTGCCTGGTCAAGGGAGACCGTCGGATCGAGAACTCAATCCAATGTATTTGGGTTGCCTTGTGGTTTTCTCTAAATGATTCACACAAATTTAAATGCATTTGATGCTTTGGTCATTTGGGTGCTTATATACAATTATAACAGTTTTATGATAAAATGTAACAACACATTAATTTTTACGCAAGACTTCAAGAGAGGATTTTATCATAAACCTCAACTTCAGAATTTGTATAAAATATATTCAAAATCAAGTTAATTTATGACAAATTACGAACTAGAAATTAATAATTTATAAAATATCGGTGATCAATAAAGATTTTATTATTTTCTAAATTAAATGAAAAAAAGAAATGTGATAGATGTTTAATAAAAGGGTTTTGATCCAATAAGGCTGATGAAGTAGGTAATGGTAGGAACAAATATAGAAAGTTTAGTGCACATATTAAGCGCAGTGTATTCATTGAAAACTTTGGTATACTGAATATTTGGGAATGATGTGATACGATATCGAGGTAATTCGGCACATTAGCAATGTATACTTTGAAAAAAATCTTGTAGAGATAATCACATTTCTAACACTTTTTACGTTTAGTTTTTAAGAAATTGCCCTAAATGAGACTAAGACACTTCATTAGTTCATAAATAAGACTTTAAGTTTATTACGAGTATTTCCTAAATAGGACTAGTTTATTAGGCAATTAAACTCAGATGTCGACTCTTTTCCCTATGACCCCTGCAATCGATTGCCACGGTTTCTCTCGATCAGCCTCCATCGCCTGCAACTCATCTACTCACGATTTCTCCCTCTACCATATGCCGCAACTCCACCATCGTCCATAGCCTCGCACAGCAGCTCTGTCATCGGCTGTAGCCTTCACCCGTTGACGGCGCCTCCTTTGCAATTTCTCTAGCCAAACCAGGTAAGTAATCTTCTCATTCTCATTCTCATTCTTCTCCTGCTCCTCCTTCTCCTTGTCTTGTTTCTCCTTCTCCTCCTTCTCATTCTCATTCTCATTCTCATTCTCCTTCTCCTTCTCATCATGTTTTTGGTTCTCTGTTTTCTATTTTTTATTGTGTCAATGCAATTCTAAATAATATTCTCAATTTGAATATTTCATATGAAAAGCTGGACTTCAACGAAGAAGAAGTGATAGGATATAAAAGCAATATTGTTTCTGACTTTTCATTTTTCATTTTCTTCTCATAATTTAGATTTTCAATTGTAATATATATGTTGACTACATAATTTCCTACAAAATGGGAATATGAAAATGTCTTTATTTTTATCTAAAAAAATCTATATTTGCACAGTCTGAAAATGCCATATTTATATACGGAAATGCCATCATCATGTCATTGTTCATATCAAATGACATTCTTGCTGGAGGTTGGACGGATCTACCGCATAACGACGATTCCGTTTGAGGATAGCAGCGACGAACATAGTGAAGGGGGTGGCAGTAGACACTCATGTATAAATGTGCCGAGGTTGATTGTCTAGAGATTGATCCAAACTTTATTTCTTACACATAGCTTATGAAGTCTTTGCGATCGGGAAGCTATGAAATTGTACAAGGTTGTATTTCAAAAGACCGAACGAGCCAATGCAAAAATTGCATGAATTGTTTAATGATGAATCCACGTTGCACTTAATACATTTGAACAGTGAGTTTGGGAAAATTCTTGAGCATGGTTTGAATGAGGTTGAATTAATTGAGATATTCTCTGCCCCCAATTCAATGAAGCATATGAGCCACACACTGAAGATGAACCACCACTCACCCCTTTGGAGAGTAGAAACACGGTTGAGGTAGATGATGTTGAAGGTGAAGTACAAGCATCAATGACAGACATAAGTTGTGAGGGTAAATCCGAAAAACAACAAGGTCATGGTGACAATTTGGGAGGGATGAGTGATCTTAATGTGGATAATGATCAAGACATGGCTGAACTGAATAAGGATGAGCAACATGCAAAGTGTGATCTGGATGATGAGAATGACCAACAAATGTTGGAAAATTAATGTAGTTCAAATAAATTATTTATTTTGTAATATAAATGTAACAGATGTTTAATTATTTGGCCGCACTAATGAGTTTTGTACCATGCGTTTTTCTCTCCTTATTTTAAGGATCCAAAACAACCATCCGTTATTCAATTGGTTTTCTATTCATTATTATATTAATAATAACAACAAGACCCACTAGAGCATGGATTACCACATACGAACTCTTCTTCTTCTCTGCAAACTTTATCTTCTCAAAAGGCCTTCCTTAAAATGATTTTTCTTAGAGACTTATGCTGGATTATTATTGGAATTATTTCCCTCGTAGTTCTGGTTCCGACTTCTAGTCGAAGGGCTCGTTATATCTTGGGGGAAGATTTCCGTTCACCGGAAATACTTTCAGAGGACCGCCTTTACGCGTCTCGAGCCAGGACGTTTCTTGTTGTTCTGTTTTGCAAGTGTTTCTCTGTGTTGGCTATACTGAAGTTATGGACCTGCGGTAACACTCCAGCAACTTTGAATGAAGGCAAGACAAGATGTTGTTGTTTGCCGGAGATAGAGGGTGAAGCTCTTAGCGGAGTACTGTCGTGTTTCCATCGGCCAAATTTGGACTGCCAGGAGCAAATGAAGAAGGAATATCCCCATCAACAAATGCCCGAGAGCAATGAATCAGAACAAGATGGAAGTGAGGAGTGTTAAAGTGAACATTATTTTGACTCAAAGGAAGAGTCAAATGGGGCTAACCGTTACACAAGGAATGTCAGGCATTCATCATACAATCTAGAGTCTGACTCATCCTTAATTGAGTTAGGTATGTTACTTGAACATGGCAGACAATTTAAAAATGCCATAATTAGGCATGTGTGCATGCAAAAAATGTTTCTTAAAAACATGAGCCCAATAGGGTAAGGATGAAATGTGGAAAATGTGTTAGAGAACCTTTCTATAGGTGCAACAGATGGTTGACTTTCACTTCAGATTGAAACTCCACATATTTTTGAACACCTTCCAACTACTCAGCAATTCCAGCCAACTTCCGTCTCATTTCATGCATGTTTTGATTACTGTCATGCCCATGAATTCCAAACCCTTCTTCAGTTTCGTCTTTCCAAGCAAAAAATCAACATCCTTGTACCTATAATTCCATTGAATGTGTAAAAACCACATGAATCCTCGAAAATACAGTGAATATGCATTCATACATCGCACAATTATAATGACATTCATATAAGTGCATATTACTTTGTTTCCTTCAATTTTTTTCAACTGTAAAACTGACTCCCACTTTCTCTACCTAGAAACAGAGGCGCCTTTAGACGACATGTACAGTACACCATCAGTTCATACTCCAAAGTCGACCTACATCCTTTTGTCGGTGTCGAATTGGAATAACATGACAGTATTACCTCTACACAACTGGTGGTCCTCCACGCTTGTATCCTCTGTGTTTTGTTTTCAAAGAAGGCCTGGTCAGGATTAGGAAAATCCAGGGTTACCTGCAACAACTGATTACCAGCTAATAAAAGGGGAAAGAAGAATATAAAATAAAATAAAACCTCCCTAACTATAAGCAAAAAGGCTAATACGTACACGGACAGCCACAAAGACTTGCGACCGGATAACACGTAGGTTACAAGCTAAAAGCTAATTCTATTACGAGACTTTAATACTTAATACTTTAATACTTAATATTTTAGCCATTTTTAATAGTTTTCCCTTTAAAAAAATTATGGTGTCATATTAGTAATATCTTTATTGGTAAGATCTATCCAAATGATCTTTTTTCAGTTTTTTTTAAAAGAAATGAGTTGTTAGTGTTCTAAATTGCAAAATATATGCATCAACTTACTTAAGATGCATTATATTGAAAACTTGTTATAATTCTGCTGTATTGGGCTGTAGCTTTATAATCAGATTCACTTTCTCTATAACTCTGTGCATGATTTGCGAAATGGTTGGCTCTTCTTTTATTATTGCTCTTAGTTTCCATAATTCCATTACATCATTAAGGCCTCCAGAAAAGGAGAGAATAACCATGACACCTCTAATTATCATTAGTTTTGCTCCTTTACAATTCTCAGTATGTGTACATAAATGGTGCGATGATCCGTTCATGCCATTCACGTTCTCACTATATTATTGCTCTTAGTTTCCATTACATCAATAGTTATGTTGATATCAGATGTAGAGTCGGGCTATGGTGAAGACTAGGGACGTTAATGAACTGAGCTTTTATCGAACTATTCGAGTTCGAGCTCGTTCGAACCTAACGAGCTTCCGAACTCGAACATGGTAGTATTCGGCTCGGTTCGAGCTCGAGCCTACCGAACTCCCTGAAATTATAAATATGATTTATATATATATGTCAAAATTTAAATATAATTAGTATGATTTATGAATTTAAATATGATTATTAACCGACCGAATAATAACCCTAAACCCTAAACCCTAAACCGAATATTTACCGAATAATTAGAGTACGAACCTATTACCGAGCATCACCTAAAATTTTAAATTTGAACATATTTATCGAGCGCTCGATTCGAACATCGAACGCCTATCGAGCCGAACACAAGCCTCATTCGTAAAGGTCGCCGAGCTTCGAGTTCAAACTCGAGCTCTGGGTGTTTGGGCTCGACTCGGTTCATTAACATTAACAGACAAATTATTTTTGTAGAATTTAAAGGCAAAGTCAACATGCAGTAAAATTTAAAGGAAAAAGTCAACACTAATAGAATTGAATCGGAGTGACGTAGTGTGTACATGTTGCACACTTGCCATTAGCCATAAATAAATTTGGTCTTGTGGGACCGCTGGCGGCAGAGAAGTTTGAAATTTTCTTTGCTTGACTTTTTGATGTTGTGGATTCATTGGACAGTCGCGGTAGCGCTTTGCTGTTGCTTGTGTTATGTATGTTGGCCGTTTCCTATTAATTCCGGCCACCATCTTTAATTAATCCAATTAAGAGCCCGTTTGGTAATACGAAAATCGGCTGATTCAGTTTATTCTGCTGAAATTTATGAAGTTCTGGCTGAAGTGGCTGCATTGACTGATTCTGCTGATTTAAGAAAAAAGTATTTTTAAAATACATTTTATTAATAAAATAAAGAAAAAATTATATACGGAGTATGAAAATAGCTAAAATGGTCATCTACAGTATTTTCAGCCAATACAGCCAGAAAAGTAACTCTAAAATTACTTTTTCTTATTATTACACAATTTAGTACGCGAAAACAAAAGTTACGTGTTTGGTGAAAAAGTTAGCTGATAAGCTTGATAAGCCGAAAAACAGTGTTGCCAAACGGTCTCTAAAACAAATACTTCCCCGGTTTAAGAGCTCATTTGATAATCATATTTATTAGTTTATCAGGTTATTGGCTAATTTTTTTCAAACACGTGAATTGTGTAATATTAAGAAAAAGTAAGATTAGAGTTACTTTTCTGTTTCTGTTGACAGAAGTTATTGTAGAAAATCATCTTAGCTTTTATTCACGTAATTATTTCTTTAAAGATCAATCAATCCAATCACTTCAATCAGAAATTCATAAATTTCAACATAATCAACCAATTTTAGTGTTACCAAATAGACTCTAATTTTTTTATTTCTCTCTTTTAAACGTCCCAACAAAAACTTCCCATTTTGATTTCAGGAAATATTGTTCTTTGTAATAAATGGATGAGCTCCCTTTGTTCCCATGAACATCCATTATTTTAAAAAAGATGCAGGTATATATGTATAAATTTAGTGTAATTGTATTCATTCTTCTTTAAATTTATAATTGTAATAAAATTGAACACTTAAAATCAAAATTCTAAATCTCAAAAATTTGTGTTACATTCCAAGTTTTGTGTGCCTAATAGTTGCATTGTGAAAAGAGTAAATTATACACTACGGATTCTTTGCCTCAAAAGTAATTCTTGATTTATATTCACAAGTCTTACAATTTTAGTACGGAAGGAGTAATATGTAAACGTGAGGTAAATATGCATACGTATATCACAGCACAACCCTCACAGGAGTCACAGCAAGTAAAATTTGTATCATTGTGTAAACTGTAACTAAATTCCAAACCGAATAAATCATTTTTTACGATAAAATCACAATCGCGTGGACTCCGTCTCATACGAGTATATGAGTATAACCCATCCAGCAGCATTTCTGAACTTCAGATAGCATACTCCAAAAATCTCCATTTCATGCCATCGCTAGAAGCTGTAATTACTTGGTGCATCAGCCAGCCATGGACCATGGTTCTTGCATTGATCTGAGGTCCACTCTTAATCCAACCCAAAGGGACATACTTGCTGTAAATCTGTAATCACAATATCCAAATGCAGAGAAGAAGAGAAAAAGCACACAGAATTACGGGGTAATTGACTACTAAGCTCTAAAAGATCTGAGAGCACAAAAAAACTCTGTAATCCGATAAACAGCCATTTGAGTAATGTCATTTGGGTAATTAGGGAGCGCTCAAGTTGTTTAAGTGCGTTTTGGGTAGGATTAGTCCTAAAAGTAGGGGTGTATTCGGTTCATCAAAACAAGAACCGTGCAAGTAACGCCTGAGCTATAACCGTTTTAATTGGGACTGGACTGGAACCCAAAGTTGGCCCAACCTGGGTGCATTCCCAGCTCTTCCAAAACAGGAGGGTATCAGTTTTCGTTCCGATTATTGCAATTAGAAAAACAACTACGGTAAAACCAAACCGGAACTAATATTCAGAATCGAACTGCAACCGTGCCTGAGGTTACAGTTACGGTTACAGGTGAAGGGCCAGGAAACAGCCAGTCGGAACCAAATTGGGTCCACCTACCTGAGTGTAGGTTTAGTTTTTTCTAGGGCCTAATGGGAGAGGGAATGGCAAGATGTGTGTGGGAGAGGCTCTAACAGTATGTAGATTCTGCCGAACATCTTGTAGTTCAATGGCATAATTGTGAAACTCATTGTAGTTTAAGGAAGTTAGACATTTAACAAAGAACAAATACATTGACATCGGAAGTGGGAACACATCCAAAAAAACAATGTGTAGATTCTTAAAATTTTGCAAAAAAAACAATATTTTTCAGATTTGCCAAATCTTAAAATGGGAGTGTGGGTCCATTCAAGTAACTGGATGTGAGGCCCACATTTTGTCATATCAATGTTCTGACAAAATGTGTGTGAATGGCCCATAGCTATGCGTTGACAAAAAAATGTTTGTGTGTGTGAATGCAACATATCAATGTGTCAATCAGGTCAACAAGAAAACAAAAGTTGCATCAAACCTTCAAATCACTTTCACCTTTTAAGAGCTGGTGATCAAGAACGACTTTGGGAACAAAATTCTGATTCTAGAAGAGAAGCCTGTTTAGTGAATTAGTCAAAACCAACAAAGTTTCTCACTCACATGGCTGCTTGGTAGCCAAAAATGGCTTATTCTAGGTAGATCAACATTCACAACTCACAAGTTACAAAAATCTTCCGTTTTCTGGAAAGAAAACTAAAATCCACAATAAAACATTAGAGGCAAACTAGCAGATTTTTATTCTACACATAAAAAACACCAATAATAGCATTACCAAGGATCAAGAAGATCCATACCATTCCCTAATTCCTTTGAATAATACAATGTTAATCATTAGTAGATACACAAGACTTTACCTCTCTATGAACCCTTTTATTTCTAACCAGAAGGCGAAAAGCCCAAAACCACAGTAGCATATTACTCCATCATCAGACTGCTACAAAGGACTAACCAATTGTGTCATTCAAGTCCTTCAGTCCTGCACCGAACAATCTTATGAAACACTTCCCTAACCCTGACTTCCAACGGGTTCAACCCATCCTTGAGAGCATCAAACACGACCCTAATCTCTTCCACTATCTTCTTCACCTCACCCTCTTTCTCCTCCGTGAGAGGAAAATGGACTGCATTGACCAATTCGTTCACATGACGAACTGATTTCTCAATATCATGAATCTCCTTCAACAATCCACAAGCATTTCTCCTGTCTCTCTTCTTAGACTCCTCAAGAATCCTCTCGTGAAGCGACATAATCGGGCCTGCCCAGGTGAACTGCTGCTTGTTCACATAGAAATGGGTCTGAAGCCCTCGATCCTGGCAAGGTATTGCGGCAACCAGGGCCCACATCACAAAATAAAGAACATAGCTCATAGTGAAAACAGACAAAGCTAATCCGTTAGAAGAGATGATTTCATTGTTTCTTGGGGCGGAGAGATTATTCCCAATGGTTTGAAGCTGCTTCGCAGCAGACCAGTTTCTGGAAACGCTCCAAGACAGTGAACGGAAATGAGCTAAAGACTTGCTATTATCTCTTTGGCGCCCGAAAGAACGGTTTCTATGGGGAGGAGAGGAATTGCTGGACTCTTTCTCATCAAGCATACTTATAGCCAAATCAACCAATGCCTTCTTGGCTCTACGAAACTGGCCTTCACCTAGACTCCTGTGATGATTATCCAATGCGCATAACATAATCTCCAGATGATTCTGCCATTGCCTGACCTGTTCAATTCCGTCTCGAATCGCGTTGCAGACGTCCAAACCCTTGATGCTCCTCTCGAAATACTCAATAAGGTAACGATCCGTGGGGGGTTTGGTGAAGAACCCTTTGTTGTTCAAGATTACGGATCTGAATTCGTCTTGGCAAGAGAGGAAGACGTCGAGGAGCTTCCGAATCCACGGGATGGAAAGGAACTCGTCGGAATCAGCGGCCAATAGGTCGGAGAAGCGGTCGGTTACATGTTTCTGGAAAGTCTGGAGGTCAAGCTCTTCGTGAGAGACGGAGTCCATTGAGTGGACCTGGCCGCGGCGCATGTTCATAATGGATCGCCCGAAACTTGACAAGGAAGACGCCCCCTGGTGCTCTGTAGCTCGCATTTCCAGAAATCGAAACTGAACTTCCGATCAACGCCAAGAAACTAGCAAATGAAATCTTGGATCAAATAATTGGAGGAAAAAGGTTACTATTATTCTATAAAGATGAAGAAGAGATGCCTCTATGTGACGATTGCAGAGGACCCAGTATGATTCAATTTATTTCCAGTATTAAAATGAATGAAATCCGGAAAAAATGGAGGCCCTGGAATTGTAGAGAGAGGGTGATTGAGGATTTTCCTGGGGAATCGGAACCCTAAGTCCAGGGCTTTTAAGGGGGGATTTGGACCGCGTATTTGTTTGCTCGAAAAAAAAGGTAAAAACTTGAATATCAATACAAGCATTAAGAAATTAAAAGTCTCGCAAAGAACGTCGGAGGTGACGCTACAGTCGACGACCTTTTTTGGCCAGTTGACAAGACTATTTTTACCGGTAATCGTAATTTTAGAAGCTTGATAGACGAAAATTTACATCCCATTGTTCCTACAAAAAAAGGTGTAATTTCCCACTCCAGGAGCCCCCACCTCGACCCGACAGTATGGTGGGAAGGTTAGTCACGGTGATTCAGTCGGCAGAATGACAGTAGGTCCATACACCCGTGCGCACCATAGATCAAGCCTTATTTCAGATTCTGTGACCTCCACCCGGTCGCTGCGGGGATTCGAACCTTGGTCCATTGTTCCAAATCTCCCACCACTCGACCAACTGAGCTACCCGTGCGGGTACGAAAATTTACATCCTAATGATTATACATAGTATGTAAATGACTACCATGTAAGGTTTAAACAGCTCTTAGGGGTGAGATCGATCCGGTCCGGTCCGGGTCGGGTTTTTGCTAAACCCGGATACTACCTGTAAGGTTGCGGGTTATGAAAATTAGGGATCGAAACAAAGCCCACTATATTCGGCCCGAGTCGGATTTTTTGTAACCCGGGTTCGGTCTGGATTCGGGTTGGGCCGGTTAAAGCCCGAATGTGAAATCATCTCATTTTTCTTTAATATTTTAAAATCTATTTTCAAATAAAATTAATAAAAAGTACAAACCGCAAATAATAACACAAATATTAGTCTCCAGAATCACCAAGAATTCAAATCCAAAGAAGACAATTATCATAATATTTTGTTTAAGATGCATAAAAATAAATAATATAAGTGTTCTAAAAATCTTAAAGGTGAAAATTGTGATGGATTTAACATCCATAAATTAAAATGTACTTCCTCCATTTATCCCTAATATTTTATCAATTTTGACCGACACGATAAAAATAATTGTGTATATAGATGAAAGACAAACAATGTAATCACAAATTCAATAATTAGAGAAGTGTCAATTTGGGACAACCTAAAAAAGAAAAATAACAAAATTATAAGTAATGAATCAGGAATAAAAAATAATTAAATTACATTATGATTTAATTGAGGGATGAAGATAGTAAGACTAATTTAGAATGTTTTTACTTGGATTGTTTTCAGTCACAGATCAGACCAAATCAGACTTAAACAAACCAGATCAGAGCAGACTTAAACAAACCTAACCAAATAAAACCAGACTAGACTTTCGTAGTTATAAAATACAAAGAGACCTGACATTTATCAAACCAAACGAGATGAATTCAGGTCAGACCAGACCAGACCTAAATAGACGAGACTTAATCAGACCAGATGAGTAAATTACGGTACAAGTAAAAACATCCTTAGAACCACATAAACTTTACAAGATTTGATATGGAACAATGTGATGACACGAAAAGTAAAGATATGATGATATGGGCTGGGTTGGACTGATTTATGCGCTCATATTTAGGATGTTTTTACTTGGACTGGATTTGATGATCTGGGCTGGGTTGGACTGGTTTGTTTAAATCTGGTATGATCTGGTCTATTTAAGTCTAGTCTGATCTGGTCTGGTCTAGTCTAGTCTGATATGATCTTATCTGATCTGTTTAAGTCCGTTTGTCTTTTCTATTCTGTTCAAATCTAATCTGATCTGATATGGGACTGAAAACAATCTAGGTAAAAACATCCTCATAGAATTATACGTTAGTATTTTCGCATTAATTTAGTGAGCTTTGGTATATGTTTCCCCTTTTGGTCTTTTACTAAGGACAATTTATGCAATAGAATTAATTTATTAAGAGAAAAAGTAATACTCGTACTTCGTATAAAAGATACAAATAGAGTATAAAGGATGAGAAGTTACAACACCGTTGAAATGAAGATTAATGCGAGTGGGAGTAAGAAGAATAGTATGCGAGCTGGGTCATCGTAGTCGCGTGGGACTCGTTCCACATACTGCCGTAAACCCAGACGCCTCAACAACAGGACATCGTAACTAGCTCCTTTTAACCATAACGTGCATTAGATGAAATTGAAATTAGCAACACAAAGCGTATAATACAATGTCATTAAGTGAATTTGAATTGTGCATTAGGTGAAATTGAAATGTGCACTAGTTGAAACTGAAATGTGCAGAATAAAAGGTACGATGTGGTTTTATTTTTGTACTTTTTATTTCACACATTTCAGTTTCACCTAATGCACAATTTAGTTTAAATTTTTATTCTGCACATTTCAGTATCATGTACGGAGTACTACGTAATACACATTTCAGTTTCATCGAATGCACATTTCCGTTCCACACAATACAATCCAACGGTCCAGATTCGTTCTCATTTCTCTCTTAAGATCATGTTCTTATTTAACTTAAAACATATATATATATATATATATATATATATATATATATATATATATATATATATATATATATATATATATATATATATGTATGTGTGTGTGTGTGTGTGTGTGTATGTATGTATATATATTTGTTCGTATATAATGTTTAGCTTTTGCATTTGATTAATTCTCTAGCTTAATGATTAAGTTAGTTTTTTGACTGAATGATTAATTCATACTTCCAATTAAGTCGTAAGAAAACATAACTGAATAACGGAATGATTAAGTCGTCAATTGTCATTAAGTCTATTAAGTTGAAATCAAACAACCTCTAAATTTATTTTGCTTTTGCATCACATTATATATAATTCCAAAAAATCAAATTTAAATTTAGCTAAATTACGTACTGCACGTGCATCGCACAGGCTTTGAAAACTAGTTTTGAAATATACGCGGTAATTTCTTACGGAGTATATAATGTCAGTACTCACTATCCACTGCCTTCTACAAAGCTAAAACGACTGGATTAATTATTCATGTACTTTTACCAACTTATCTAAGTGTCAAAAACACTCTCACATTTTCAACCACCAATTAACTCTTACTCGCTTCGTCCCAAAATTATCTTCATAGTTACTATTCACACGGTCAATTCAAATTACTCTTAAACTTGTATTTTATATATCAAATTTTTATCAAACTTAAATTTTCTTGATCAGCCTTTGTAGCGAATTTAATGTAGTTTCTGAATATGTAAATTTAATTTACAAAAAATAATCCGAGTGTGAACATGGATCAAGTTGCTTTATCGTCAGTCAAGCATCGTAAACCGCCGAACTACGAAGATAAATATGGGACGGAGGGAGTACAATATTATTACTTGGATTTTTTAATACACCAGATATAAAAGTTTTTGTGGTTTCAAATTAACTAATAAGAACACATCAAGTCGCTTCTCTCGCATACTACCTTAGCTTGTAGTATAAATACAACATTCATTTTATTGTAAAGGATTGAGAAAGTTGTATTGAATAACTTAGTCTCTCAATTCTCCTCGTAAACTCTCACTTTAGAAGCTAGAGACTCGATAAGGGTGTGATGTAATCGTTTAACACTCTTCGCTTGTTTGCTGTACTTACACCATCTATTGCTAATTAACCACACTAATCAATCCATATCTAAGAGATCCAACGAAACTAGAAGGATTGTGTCGAGCATTTGGAGTTCTAGAACTTAGCCTCAACATATGATAATTAGTTGTGTGTTTGCAGAATTGTTTTAATGAAAAAGTAATTCAACTTTATTTCAAGTCCGGATATTTGAGAAAATCAAGTTACATTTTTTAGAGCATCTCCATTCATGATTCTCAAATTTACGGTTTTTATGCTTTCTTATTGTCATGTCACTTCCACATAAGATAATCCCAAATAATCTCCAAACCTATCAATTTCTCCTCATCCATGATCGTAAGTTCGTAACTTACCTAGATTTTTTTACAAATCTATTTATTATTAGTTGCCTAGAAAATAAGAAGAGGAGCCTAAAAGTTGTGAATAATCTCAAAATAATCCAACTTTAGAATTTGATATTAGATTTTTTTAGAATTTGCTCCTAGTAGGACCAAATCATAGCTCTTTTACAAAAAAAAATACCTACTAATGATTTTTCCATTCATATTACTTATTTAGTTCTAGATTAGGAAACCTATTTCTAACTTTCTAAATTTGCCCTTCAGGCCAAAAAACTTCCGGCAACCAAGCTTCTTCCGCAGGAAACCCATCCTCCATGTTGCCGTTGCCAGACGCCACCGCCGTTGCCGGACCTCGACGTTGTCGTTGCCAGACGCCGTTGCCGATGCCGGATTTGGGGAACGATTGGGTCCGATTTGGGGAATGATTGCGTCCGGTTTGGGGAAGGGGAGCATGGGAGGAGGGCTGGGGACAGGGGAGTAGGGCTGGGGGCTAGATGTTGGGGGTGAGGGCGGGGTGGCTGGATGTTGGGGGTGAGGGCGGGTGGCTGGTGGTGCTGACTGGCGGTGACCACCGGGGATGGCTCTGTCACTGTGACGCTGGCGGCATGGATGGGAGGGTAAGGGGCAATTTATTGTCTACTTATTGTCTATTTATTGTCTATTTAATGTCTGATATTTCTTAAAGGTAAGGGTATTGTGGTCAATGTAGGTGTAGTTGAGTCTTACGCGAATCTGCGGTCTTAGTTTTAGAAAATTCGTACGTTTTGCTCCTATTTGTTGAAATCTTCCATTATTTTATCAACTCCTCATCCGTGATTCCAAAAACATCTTCCAAATCATCAAAATGATCCCAAAAATTATCTATGGATGGAGATGCTTGTGCACACTAATGTGTTGAAACGGCAAAAAGAAAGTTATTTCATGCAGTGATATTTATGCAAGTTTTTAGATTGATTTTTAGTTGGACAAAGTAAGTCCTAGTTGTAGAAAGAAACATACAGTAGTACTTACTTCTATTTTTGTAGTTTTGTTTACTCCGTATATTTTAATCCTATTTGGAACAAAAGATGTTAATTTTTATTTATAGGAATTTTATCAATTCAGGACCCGAAAGATAGATTAATTATCAATTAGGGACCTGAAAGATAAAATGCATCAATATAGGACCCGAATGATGAAAAACTATCAATTTAAGACCTGAATGATTGAAAACTATTAATCTAGGACCTAAGTTGTCATAATTTTTTTTATTGAAAAATTTTAAATATTATTTCGTTTTAATAAACTATTAAATTTTTGTGAAGAAAAGTTAACTAAAAATTAGTAATGGAATTAATAAAAAAATTAAATAAATCAAAACCTATGAAACGTTAGGTCCTAAATTGATAGTTTTCCATCATTCGGGTCATATACCGATACGTTTCATCTTTCGGATCTTGAATTGATAATTAATCTATCTTTCGGATCCTCTATCGATAAAATTCTTTTATTAAAGAAATTGAAAAAATGCATGACATGAAGTCTTTTAAGAGTATCACCCATTTTCTCTCTGCTCCTATTAATTATTCATATTGGTGGGGTAATTTTAATAATTGAAACACAAAACACGGAGAAAATAGTTCTGATGTTTATTTTATCTGTTTGCATCATGCTTCAACTTTTAATTCATTTTGTTTTAAAACGCTTGCATCAGTGAAGTTCAAAGTGTGGTTTTAAATTTGTGCATAATAATGTGTTGATATTTAACATCCAATTATAGGGTGAGGTGTGCGTAAATGTATAGATTGATTTCACCCGCTGTAAATTGACTGGTAAAAAACATTTTTGAGAAATAACCAGGAACCGGAGCCTTTACCTTGCTTAAGAGCAAAGTAGGCAAACCAACCATTCCAGCTCACTGGGAGGTTACCGTGTCCTAGCGGAAGTCTCGGGTTCGAATCCTGCTAGGCACATTTAGAGGAGAGGATGAAGGTCTCGAATTCGAATCCTGCTAGGCACATTTAGAGAAGAGGACGGAGGTCTTGCTCTCAATGATTCTTCCTACCAAACAAAAAAGCAAAGTAGGGTGCTACCTTTTTTGGGGTCTACACTGATCTCAAGGCTGCCCTCCTTGCTATCTGACCGCTCGCTGCCGTAAGGCATTCTACCATACAGCAGAGGTTCGGTGTCGAAATAATCAACCTTCAGAATTTGCTTCAATAAATATTCTCCTTCAAAACATGTGACGGACTGACGGATGAATATAAAGATTTTAAAAACATTATACTTCAACTTTTGACTTATGAGTACATACATCACCAAATATGTATTATATAAACTTATTGCCTTATAAACAATAAAATCATTAATCCTATTGTTTGATTATTATAATATGAATACATATTATTACAGCATGGGTAATAACATACTGTATTATATATATATATATATAACACATTGAAAATTTGGAGCAGACAATATTTATCTTTATATTTCTTTTTTATCCCTTTTATTTTATCTTTTTTATGTATATTCATCTCCTTTTATATTATCTTTTATTGTCATAGCTTATCTTTTTATCTTTCTTTTCTTTCTTTTTCTTTTGATGTTGATATCATGTATCGAATCGTGTTAGCCAACCCCGAAATCTTGAATGTTGTTGTAGTAGAGACTATAGAGGTAGATGTGAGTAATGAAACTTTTAGACATGGAGGTGTATGTGACATTCGAAATTTTGATTTAGACAAACAATGATTGCATATTGTATTGTCATGGACACTTCCCATTTCCTAAGACATGTTATCAGCTCAAGGTAAGGGCTATCAAGCCATCTATATAACAATGATATTTAAATACACCTATTTTTTGAAAAGCCACCAACATACAAGACCGTTTTGAGGTACAACATTGGAATTGAACTCTTAAACTCAAAAATAGTAGTCAAGGTACAACAATTAAAGCATCAGACCTCGCCTCAATGGTTCTTCGAAAGCATCCATTACAATGTCTTCTTCTTATTCTTCTTGATCTTCTTCCTTGCTGCTTAAGATAACATCAGCCAGAAACAAGCTCCCAGAATCACACCATCCCCCAATCAGGTCCCTGTCACAGCACTAAAACGAAAGAAGAAAATAACTCAATTCCATCCACTGTTACTCTGTTAGTGATCCATCTCACATTGTATTCCAATTGAATCACCATATAACCATACCTTGTTGAACCCAAGCCAGTTTGAATCACCTCTAAACGAAAACCATTTCTTTCCATCGCTCCAATGTCCACACACAACCTGCCAGTCCAGCAAGCTCGTATATAACGTTGTGTTAAAAGAATGCCAACATATATCTATTCACACACATATGCATGTATATATGTATAGATATATAATTGTATACAAACAAACTCCTTCCATCGTCTATTAGTTATATCATTCCTTTAAAGGAATTAAGCAGTTTTCTCACTTGCTCTTTTTTAGTGTATCAAGAGTTGTCAATGGACATAAATGCCCTTCATTGATGTGTTTTTTTCTCCAACTTTTCACATTTAGCATGCCATAGAATACCTCAATCAATTTAAGCTGAGAATCATGAAAACCCCTTGACTTTAATATTAAAGAAAAGAAGAATTCATGTTTCTTGAAATATAGCTAATTCCTAAATGTAAAATGCCAAAAAAGAATTGGTGGTAAGATTATTGACTTATAATAGTGGGAGTGTGGAACCTTCTTCAAGTATGAATACTTTAATAGTAGCAGTATATCATAAGAGACTCATAGGCTCGTAGCCAGTTTATTGTCGGTGATAAAATTGTTTGGTGTTCAATGATAATAAGTCATATGCTTTTGTCCCCAGACCTAACAGACAAACAAGTTTCATGAACAATGGTTTTAAAATCGTTAGAAAAAAGATCAGCGATTCACACCTCATAATCAACTCCTTGCACATAAATGTAATCTGAATCAAATGAAGAGAAAGCAAGTCTTGTTATCTGCAATATGTATAAAACTTAATGGTGATTGGAAACCAAAGGACTACTTTTGATAATAACAAACACATTATCTAAATGAATACTTCCCAGATAATTATCACCGATAGAAGAATCTGACCTCATATTTTGAGCAGTTCATCCATCTTGACACTGTCGACCATCTGCATTCAATGAGTTTAGGGCAAGGAAGAGGAACATATCAATATGTCTTCCCCCATATAGACCCCATTTGGTAAAGGATATTTGGCTAAAATGGACATATCCGCTGAATTTTCTGAAATGCAATGAATTTTGTAACATTCATTTCAGCCAAATAATTAAGAGTATGTTTGGTAGCTTGCTTCAGCAGTGTTCTGCTTTTTAGCAGTAAGGTTTTGACTTGCGTATTTGACTGAAATGAATTCTACAAATGTTTTTCCGATCACCATTTCAACCAAATAACCCTTGTAAACAGGCTCTAAATCAAAAGGTACTTATTCTGCAGAATAAGCTGGGTAAGGCTACCAAAAGGGACAAAATAAGTGAGACACTTTAGCAGCCAAATTAATATGTGGAATGACTAATACTTCATAAAGCAAGCCACAACCTGCGAGGGTCGTAGACAGAAACAGTGCGATCAGCTCCACCAACTGCAATACTTCCATTCGAAGACTCGCAGACTGAATATAAAATATCTCCCACTGACCCATAAATTCTATGCACACACCCTCCTTTTTCTCTCATTCGTAAGTCCCATATGCTAAGCTGCAGTAAATTATATGTCAATAAATGACTAGGAAAGAGAATAATAGTATGATTAAGAGAATTCGTGGGGATACGTGGGGAAAATAATATTTATTGCTCAGAAATGGAAAACAAGAGATCAAAAGAAAAATTTCTTTGTTCAGTTGGTAGGAGCGAAATGGTTGAGCATAAATATTATATTGTCTAGTTAACTTTGAAATGATTAAGAAGTAAGTAATATAAATACTATAATATCCTATATGTGTTTTTCCTCAAACAATTCTGCATACTTTATGAGGGTATTTCATTTTGAATCTTTTTCTTTTGTCCATAAGGAATAAATACAATGTAAGAAGTAGAAGGATTACATTTTCCTAAAACTAAAGGAAAAAGTATTCTAAACAAGACCAAGTGACCAACTATTAACATACCAAACAAAGGAGATACCTGGCACCCTTCTGTGAGGACTAGCGTGGAGCATTCGCCTTGACCACTCAGATTTTGCATAAAAGTCAGTGAAGTTGGATACCACAATCTGCTAACGGGATTGAGGAATAATCAATTCAGGACACATCTTTAAGCAAGAACATATAACAGGGTTTCCATGTTTACAAATCCATCTATTCTCAGCTGAACATAAGACTAAAAAGTAAAAAAAAGAAGTAACAAGGTACTTGCGTGCGTAAAGTGCGAAGATGAATGTCTTGGTCATACACATCAATGCTCTTCCCAAAACTGTGTGCAACAGCTGCCTGCAGAAGAATCAATTGCTTAATGAAGTTTATAGGACAAGGAACAAGGGGGGTCTCTATTCTCATGTCCATGAGATTGCATCAAAAATAAAAAAATAGAATGTGATCACTTATAGATAAAACACAAAATAACTGCATTATGAGGCTAATAAACTTGAAATCGGTGGCAGACAAGACACTGCAAATATCTTTAGCATATTCCCCCAATGTTTAATTTCAACCACCTTTAATTATTTGGGAAATTTTCCAAAATAGGAGCAAAAACAAGGTGATCTCCCTAACTAGGAGTACTAAGTTTTTTTCCCAAAATAGGAGTAGAGTTCTACAATGTTGAAATCATACTGCCATATTAAGGCATTACCAGGCCTTAATACGATAATATTATTTCCATTATATGGCAGTATTTTTTAGGATGACAGTAATTACTACGGAGTTCTATTTACATAAAAGAAACACAGTATTCTACTTATGGAAACCAAATACTATGTAGTTTTTACTCCTATTTAAGGCAATTTCTTTAATTATTTTCACTATACTCATTAGTCACTTCAGTTTTTTCGTAAGTAGCTGAAATTAAATACTCCGCATGTCCATTTTATTGGTCCCAAACTGAATATACTGCCCAGTCTGCCCTTGTTAAATCATCTTTCGACTTTTCCAATCCCCACTCTCTTCTAATTTTTTTTAAATGATTTGACATCCTCAATCCCACTTTAGGGGAAATTTTGAAAAGTGTGTTAACTACTATGCAATCGAAACAAGTGCATCGGAAATTATAAAAAATAAAATGACGAGAAAATATACCATAGACCACTGGGTTGGATTGAAGCATAGACCAGCCCAACTACCTTCTCCAACACCACAATCCCGAGGAGAGATTGAAAAGGTCACACTATCTACATCTGGGGTACATTTTTCAAATGCAATTATGTCATCCATTACTCAGTCTCTGTACAAAATGATAGAAGATAGAATGAAAAGTAGAAATGCATACCTTCACCATGTGTTTTTAGTTTAGAAACTAAAACATGTCCGTATGAGTCTACACTTCCTAAAGCCGAGAAACCATTGTCTGAAAATGTAAAATAAAAATTCAAACCCTTATAAATAGTATTAATTAAACTATTACCGACTAACCACACCTTAACTACTTCAGAAAAGTTGCTGGGAAATAATTCCACCCCGAATAAGCAATAATATCACCTACTATCAATTTCTGCAAGCACTACTGTTTGTATTTCCATGCGATGAGGACATCTATTGACAACAGCAGATTCCAGAACCTTCTCACACGTGCCTCATAAAATTAGCAAAACCAGTCTCGTGGTGTTGCAGCCAGTTTTGAAGAATAACTGTAACTCTGTAAGTAGTAATACAGTTACCTTAGTTTGCTCAGGAATTAGGAGCCCCTGCTTTCCTTGACTGACAGATGAATTCTTTGTCGAGATCTGGATGCAGAAATTGATATTTTATAGTACAAAGAAAATACTACAACCAAACATATCCAGACCAAAGTTTGTGGTTACTGTGTTAAGAATAAGGTTGGGGCTAAGTCATGATTGTCCAACACATTTTCTTAGTAATGGGTTCATCCATTTATATTTATTCTGGTCAAGGACCAAATTTGAACAGCCTCGCGGCCAGATCTCTGGTCTATGCATTTATGTTATGGGCAGAAATCATGGCTCAGGGTCAAACTGCCTCTAATATTCATGTTAATATTATCATGTTTTCCAACACTTATCAGGAGCTCATTCATTCATCCATCAAGACATTCTTTACACCTAAATTTTTAATATCTTTCTTTGTACTATAGAAGTATAGAATAATGTTGGATTTCCAAGTTTATACAATGAATTTTTTGTCTTAGACGGCTCAAGGATATAATATTGAAATAATATACTATCGTATAAGATTTGAGCTACTCCTCATCCTTAAGGTATAAAATGTTAAATCATCATCTACTCTCTCTAACTCTCTTGTTATTAGGTCACTTTGTTACTAGTTTAACTTTTATGATGGAACCCATGTCCTAATGGGCTAATGGTGTATGCCTTTTCTCCATTTATATCATATATATACAAATGCAATGTTTACTGACATTGGGGTAACTTTTAAGTGTATTGATTACTATCATCTAAACTGCCTAAACATCCTCTATGCATAGAAAATACACTTATAAGATCAAGAAAGCATTCAAATTGTAAAGCACGGGTATTTTATGTGTTCAAATGAAGGTGACAGCTTACAAGGAGTCTGTAAACACAACAACCAGAAGCAAGATATACCCAGCAAGATTCATCGTTGCTACCGTTGACCTGTGCATTTGAATTCAGAATAAAAAGGTGAAACCTTGAGCTTCTTTTCAGAAATTTGAGCTTTGAAATGAGAGGAAAAGAAAGTGAGGAGTGGACATGGAGTGCGAGACGAGTAGGCTGGAGGCTTCCAGGAGAGGGGTGTTCGAACAAGCTGGACGGAACAATGGCCTTCTTCAAGCTCTTCGCCTCCAGCATTTTTGCACCTATTGCGGAGACTCCGGGCTTGCGGCGGCGGACACCTGAAGTGGCGAACAAGAGATTTAGCGAAATTATGCAAAATAAAAAATTGGGAGAACTAACAGATAAAGGTTAACTTTCATAAAAACACCAAATAAGCCTTTTATACGAGGCTCTGTCCGGCCGTCGCCATTTGAGGCGGTTTCCGGTGGAAGTTTTTGAGTATCTTCTTCATTAAGTCTAGTTTAATCATATCAAATCTCAGCTAAAAATTCAATCGGGAAGGTAGTCAAATGAATTTTTGAAGATAACTACGCAGTTAGGCAGCGCAGTATATTTCAGAAAAATATTTGACTGTCTTCTCGATTGAATTTTTAACTGAAATTTGGTATGGGTAAACTAGAATTAATGAAGAAGATGCTCAAAAAAAATCATCAAACAATTCCACCGGAAAACGCCCCAAATGGCGACAGCCGGACAAAATCTCCTGTAAAAGAGCTTATTTACACTTTTTATGAAAGTTCGAGAGCTTATTTGATAGTTCTCCGTAAAAAATTGAAAGTTAGATGTAAATTACGCCAAAGCCCTTGCTTTTTTATTCGAAGTACTCTGTGGAGTATTTTTCTCCTGAAGTGCAATTCCCATCTCCAAATGCTTTCTCAATTAGTGTTGGACCGGTACCGGGCCGACCGGCCCGTGAACCCGACTGGCCGGCTACTGTGCTGTCCCGGCCCGGCCCGGGAGTTGGGTACCCGTTCCGGATCTAGGACCGGCCTGGGGAGTTAGGGCGGGGCGGTTCCGGGCTAACCTTCCTTTGGAACCGGCCCGGTCGGGCCGGCCCCGGTTTGGGCCTTTTTTATTTTTTTGTTTTTTCAATTTTTTTTGTTTTCCCTAGATGGGCTGGCCCGAGACTGGCCCGGCCCGGACCCGGTGGAAACCCGGGCCAGTTTTGGGCCTTCCCCCAACAAAAAAAACCCGCTATGCAACTATTGCAAAGTAATTCTAATTCTGTACAAATTAATCCTGCTCATCCGAATTTCGGAATGGCTATGCAGCTATTGCAAAATAATTCTAATTGTGTACAATATTCTCATGCCACTGGTCCATTAAATAATGTAACCATGTTTACTCAAAAAATAAACTATTTTCCGCGAGATCTGAATCCTTAGCAGAGCTGTATAGCGCATAAATGCCATTGGTAACCACAAGAACCAGCCAACTCAACTAAGGCATTACATGCTCTGACTACACACTTTTTTGGCCTCCAACTAGCATCGGCTTTGTTCAAGAACCCTGCTGCAGCCTCTACTGCTGCCTCCAACGGCCAACCCATTAAAAAAAGTAAAGGATAACACTAACCATCGGCCATATGAATTGACCCTTGTATGAACTCCACACAAATAACTTAATTTTTGACATCAATAAAGTTAAAACAAATGGATTCTTTTGACAACACTATAATTAACCGATTTAAAAAATGAAAAGATAAACAGAAATATAACATCCATCTATAAATATTAAATTGCTTGTCTAATACTAAGTATACAAGCTTCAACTTGTCAAAGAGCAAACAGTCAAATTTTGAGCAGGTCAACATGGATCACTAGATCTTACATCCACCCCATCTAAACTGCCCCGTTCCAATAGAATGGTGTTTTGTATGATGAATAAACAAGTAATAAAAATGCTCATTATAAATAGTAAGTTGAAGCACATGATTCCAAAAGTGAGGCATAATCACTATAATACTATATTAACACAAAACATACTCCTATTTCACTTGTGAGATTACCTATCAATAGAAGAACTCAAGAAAAAAGAATTTAGTAAGTGATAGAAACATTCTTAGCGGAAACAAGATTTCAGTAATGATCGTAACAAGGCTTCTTAATTGAGCTGGAGTATATAGTAGAACTGTAGAATTCACTTAATTGAAGCAAATAATAAACAATCATAACAACAATCTTAACTGAATCAGTGTTTCACATCGCAAGGCTTCTTAGCCGCTTAAATTAAGAATGATACTGAACTTAATTAGTATTGTAGAGTTGTTGTTGTGTACCAGATTAGTAGAATCAGTCCATAGCGGAGGAAATACTTCTGTATCACCAACTCAGGTTTACTTCAAACGAAAGAAAGAGCAACGATGCGAGAAGGCGACGATGAACCGTGTCCTCTGAAATTGTTTTCTATCTCCATATTCTCCTAATCCTCCCATTGATCGATTCGTTAAGGTAGATGCAGATGATCGAGAGGAAGTAGAGGCGGGAGAGATAAAACTGTGCGAAGGATTGGAGACAAGGTCGAGAAATGGGAACAGTGAGAATGAAGATCACATTTAGCATAAAGGTTCAATTTAGGGATAATGCTATTTTTGAAATAAAATATCCAGAGATGATAATGTGAAAGTTTAAATATGAAAGAAAAATACGACGGGGACATAAATGAAATCCAAGAGGGAGTAGTGGCCAAAACATGTAATTACCACAACAAACTTTATAAACCTTTGTTTCTTAAACTTTTTGATGTCTATATGTAATTTGGCAGAGTATTACACTATCCTATATATTTTAATATATGTGATCAGATTATTGTTATGCACAATATGATAGAATTATCTGCAAACAATTATTATACAATGACAATCACATAGAAATTAGAGAATTAGATACAAAAATACAATGATACAAACAATTATTGTTTAATGCATGTAAATCTCTTATAAATAAGTGCATACATAACTAATTTTCAGATTTATAGATGTGGAATTATAAATAATAAATTTTATTTAAAAATCTATAGAGAAAATGGTTTGTGACAAAAACATACAACTTAATTGTACTAGAATGAATTTTTATTAACAACATTAACACACTACATGTCTACATGTACCAAATATAGTATTAACAATTTTGTTCTCTTCTTTTAGTTATTGCCTGGATCAAGTACAGTAGAAGATTATAAATAAAGCAGTTGAAAAAATGATGTAGTTGAAAAGTGAGTTAAAATAATGAAATGATAAAAAGTACATATTAATTTCTTTAAAAGGGAACAAGAGATTATTTGAGACGAAAAAATGTAAAGTTTCCGTAAAGACTGAAGGAGTACTTATTAAATATTTGATATTGGTCAAAACAAATCACACCAAACAAAGAAGGATTAGTATCAAGGCCTTAAGGGTTAGACAAACTCAAAAATAAGTCTTGGACACTTGCAAGGACCCAGCATTACTGCTTAACAATGAGTCAATGACTAAATAATACGTAGTACTTCCTCAAGTAAAAGTTTTCAGTTTCTTTTCAGGACATCTAATCTAAAAGTTCATAGTTCTTCTTATGAAATCATTAGCAATCTTAAATAACATTTAATCATTAAATACTAAAAAATAGTACATATATAACACAACAGTTATCGCCAATAGCATCATTATATGATATACCAATCAAAACTACTTTTTAAATATACATGAATTGTCATATTTAATTCTTGTCCAAAAAGAGATGACATTTTTCAACTCAAACCTTAAGTTGGGACGGAGATTCTAACTAGTAGGGCTAATATTTGAATGATCATAGAAAAATACTCTTTGATTTATACCATTTATAATACATAATTCAAAAGGACACCAAAAATAGCAACATATACATTTTAGGGTGTTTGGAATTCTGCTTCTTTTTTAAAACATAATTAGGATCAGAATCAGTTTTTCAGAAACCGATATCATTTAGCTTCTAAAAAACTGTTTCTAGGAGCAATTTGGAGCAAGAAGTACTTTTGCACTATAAAAACAATTTATAACTAACTAATTACTTTGTAACAAAATAAAAACATAAAATAAAGAAAATGGGATTTAGCAAGACAACCAATGAATCAATAGTAGCCTATTAACCTATAGTATAGAAATACTGAATCAGTGCAACACGGAATATAGATCTATACTAAGGAAGCAATGAGCGTCTGGGCGGTATCATCTCTCGCTATTTTACTTTCAACCACACATATAATGTTAGAATGTTAGATATCGAACTGCGTTCATATGCATCAAGCCATCAAGTATGTACTTTAATATACAAGCCCTAGAAATAAATACATGAAAATCTTGAGAGTATGCTTTGATCATATGGACAAAATGTGAAATCACTTGGCACAAAGAATGTAACACAGACAATATACTAATCACTAACACCACAGCAGAAACACATACACAGAGAAACAAATGCTCAACGAACAACCAAAAATGCTGTCTATCTACGTCTTTGGCGGGAGAAACTGGGGGAACTTATATGTTGTGAACCTTTAAAACTCCGAGTTGTTGAATCTCTAAAAGACGCATAAGCTGCTTTTGCTGATTCAGGAACAGAGTCCAAGGGGATTGACTCCACAAAGCATGCCGTGTTAATCCGGGTCCTCTCTAGCTCAGTCTGAAGCAACTCTGAACTGTATTGTTGGGCAAGAGCGATGAGGTCATCAGGTGAGACACTCATCCCTTGTTGTCTGTCATCCGTCATCACGTCATCACTTCCACGTGTTGGTCGGCGGCTGTGACTTGGAGTCTCGGCAGTCTCCATTACAGTCTCGGCTGCTTTCTCTAAGAGAAGCCCTTGCAATGACTTCAGGGATTCCCTTGCTTCCGGTGTGAAATAAGGATTCAGTATTGTCTCGAAATATTCAAGCTGCAGGATTCAAGAGCTGTTAACTGTCACAGGCTCCTAGAGATGCGTGTGCAAGTGTCGGGGGCAACCCAAACCCTATTTTAATAGTTTTTTAAATTATGGGACGTGTATATCCTGATTATTTTAAAACCCAGCTGAAATTATAAAGCTGGGTTTCACCCAAAGTCTGCACAAACAATGGATAGTATCATGTCTACTCACCTCAAGCATAATCTGGCAAAAACCATTAGCATCCAATGCTCTAAGATCTTTCGTCTGGTTTTCATTGAAAAGGCTGATGAAAGTATCTATTAGGCCTTCAACAAGAATGCCAAGTGTCTTGTCTAGCAGTGGCTTACAACCAGCAAAAACCTGCACGGAATAACTCAACTTTACCCATCGACAAAGTTTTGGTCTTCTTTTTTCAGGGGAGGGGGGGTGAAGTCGTGAAGAATATACCTCCGCGTGTACTGCTACTAAGGTGTGCAGCAACTCCACAGCGGCATCTCGAACACCCTGTTGATTACATTTAGCTATCATTTCAAAACCCAAACAGTAAAATTCTCAGCATAATGAAATCCAAGAGCATGGGAAACAAACCGGTACTCACTTTAACAGCAGGCGCTGCACCCCACTGAACTCCGGCATCTAATAAATAGTTATTTGCCACTGCTATAATCAAATTCGTCTGAAAATTATGCAAAAAGAGCACATGATGGCTAAGGAAGATGACATAGCACGGCCATGATCCATTTATTTAAAATTTTAAGAAACTGATATAATGGCATGCAAAACAGTGGAAGTGGTCGAAGTGAAAGTGTAGTATAGACATTATGGATCCAGTAACCTGATGTAGTGGGAGTATGAAAATTTGATCTTATATGGAGTGATTTTTTAAAGGTAATGACTGACATATTGACAGGTATAAATGGTGGGAGGTAGAAACAATTACCAATACAGTCCCTAGATGCCTGTTTGGATGGAGGGATTGGATGAGAAGGTAACGAGGATTAGTCTATATCTTGAAATGTGTTTGATATATTCTATAATATTAAAAGATTAAACTTATATGTGATCACGTAATATTCCAAACACTTTTTATTTGCTTTGGTACATTATGTTTATCAAGTTATTATTGAGCCCTCAAAAGCCTTCCACTCTAAACCCTCAATACAAACACCCTAAATATATTCTCCGCACCCAATTCAAAAGATTGAATCCCCCACAACTTGTTAAGAAGTGTTTAATTTTTTATTTACACTTTCAACATGAAGGGCGGTCGTAGTTAGTATGACATCTTAAAGGCATTCATGTGCTTATATAAAAACAAAGCCACTGTTACATGGATGGATGTTCAGCTAAGAACCAGTTTCAAATTGAACAAAGATCAGTGATACCTTCGCGTAAGTGTAATGCTCCAGGACCTTTTCTTCAAGGCTAGAGAAAGATGTGATCAAATCTTGCATGTCAGTGTCCTCGTCATCCTTGCCCCTGGGTTTTCATAAGCAAGATAACATGATATGAAATAAGTAATAACACATCTGGGAGCCCATCAAAAAGCTTTCCAGCTTACATCTGGAAAAAATTGTATGACAAGATAATAATGGGAATAGAATAATTTCTAGTTGGCTGTAATCAGGGCATATGCTATGCATATGCCCTGATTACCAAAGTGTGATTTACTCTTTGTGGGCTTGTGTAAACAAGTAAATGTATGATAGTGCATTGCAAGTTGTACCATATCAGACTCAAAATTTAGGAATTTGGGAACTACATTTAAAATAAGGCTAGTTCAGACTTTAGATCTACATATTGCTGATGGGACACATGTAAGGAACTACATTTACACAGACATCGTGATTTTTGAAGAGTTCAGTAGAAAAAGAAAAATTGAGTACCTAGTTTGTATCCACATGTGTTTGTATTTGTTGTACATTTCACGAGCAAGTTCATCTTTACAATATCCTATATTGCTCAAGACCATTAAAAGCTGCCGATGCGGATCGGTAACACTTCCAGGAAGAGGATCAAATGATTTATTTTGTGGTTCATAAAATCCATTTCCAAAACGTGCACCATCTGTGCTTGATCTAGTCTGGATAAGCTCACTACCAACATTTTCCAGATGAGCTGATCAACATATAAAATCTTGTTAAGGTGGGAGCAGCATTCCTTTTTGTTTAATCACATGGTCTAGATTGAAAAACAAATACTTTAAATGATCATACTAGCAAAACCCAGCAAACAATTCAAGAAGGCAAGTCTAACAGCTTCCTGGATTTCTTGAAGCTGCACAAAGATATCTTCTGATTTTTTGGCATTGTTCTTCAAAGAGTCAATCATTCTGGTCATAATAAAACACAGCAAACAAAGAAAGCATAAATAACTCAAATGGAAAAATACAAATTCAAATGAAAAATCCAATTACTTCTTTTTTTTATAAATAATAGTTTGAAAGAGACTATTTTTTGGCTTGTGAATATAATGGAATAAAGTAAATAGCTCACTAAACTATATGTGCTTCTTTATTATGAAGCAAAGTTAGTCCATGCATTTTTCGACGCGATTTTCACCATGGGTCATCCGTAAACAGTTTCTTTGTGCTTTAGAACAGGGGTAAGATTGTGTACATCTGACCCCCCTTACCCCACCGTAGGCGGGAGCCTTTGCGGCACTGGGGTAATGATGACGGTAATGAATAGTTCGAAAGAGAATGCCCACATACTCCTCCACTGCTTGAGAGATCATGAAATACATCAATGCTCCAAAATCAATCACTACCAAATATAACAAACCATGGGCTAGAGAGCTTCAGAAAGAATTTCAGTTTTATTTTTCTTAGAAGAGGGTGTGGAAAGGCATTCCCCTTATAAATTGGACTTTATAATCTGCTTTCATCGGAAAAGGTTAAACTTTAGCAGCAGGGTAAGCATTGTCATCAAATCGAATCTGATTGCTGGCAGACTAAAGAAAGACTTCTAAGGATCTACCTTGATGTGACTTTGATTTGATCATTGGTTGAAGTTTTTCCACCACATCAGTTGAGGATAAAATTACTACGTTTTTCTGCGACTTCACTTATCAGGTTAACTTTTTAGAATGACAAATCTTATCATACTATTGGTTCAACTGTGATTTGTTTGTTTGTTTGGCACTCGTGATTTTGGGTGGCCCGTTTGAGTCATTTTGGCCCATTTATTCACCCCAATACGTTTTGTATGGTTTGAGGTTTGAGCTCTGAGCGTTGTGCGTAATATTTGTTTTGTAACAATGTATAAATTATAAACCAACATATAAGATTAATGAAATCATCCTAAATAGAAGTAAAATAGTTTGTGAATTCCAAAATATGACTACTATGTTTTTATTCACTAAATAGGAGTGATTAGTGTCATGTATTGGTTTTGTAACAATGTATAAATTATAAACCAACATATAAGATTAAAGAAATCATCCTAAATAGAAGTAAAATAGTTTGTGAATTCCAAAATATGACTACTATGTTTTTATTCACTAAATAGGAGTGATTAGTGTCATGTATTGGCATTACCAAACATTAAATAAATATGGCAGTATTTTCCAAACGTGGTAGTAATTACTCCTATTTAGGGAATAAAAACATAGTAGTCATATTCTGGATTTCCAAAACGTTTTTACTCTTATTTCGGGAATTTTCCCATAATATTATGTGCCACACTTTTCTACCCAATAATCTTTTAGAATGAAACTCTGAACCTTATCACTAGAACATAAAATTAAAATGTTAGGAACTGGATAAAAGAAAAACGGCTTCTTCAATTTTGCAGAATGACATTCACATAACTACTTTTAGTACCAGAGGATCATATTCAAAATTTTGTCCAGACACCTCCATATTTAGGCTTAAGTATCTCTTCAACCAAAAACTGATCAACTGTCTCAATTGAGTATATATTTTTCCCAAATTCTTCAATTCTCACTATGCTAACCACATCAATTCGGGATGAGATTATTCAGTATTCAGTTTTCTCTTATCATTTGCGTTTAATTTTCAAGCAATTCCAATTGCTGCCATGATAGACTCCAACTCTACCACACTGCCACCATCAACGACATCAGATATTTATCGCACACCTTACATCACCACATCTATATCATGCTAAAGTCCCAAATAATATGCAATTGGCATCATACATACCCCCAGCTTAAACGAAAAAGGGAAATGCAGGAGACCGTATTGATAAAAAAATATAGGGTAGGAAACATAGGGCAAACACGTGAAGAGAAAAAATATAAGGATGTACTTAAAACATTTTTTCATAATTATGTTAAAATAATTTTCATATAAACATCGATATTAGCCAAAGATAAAAATAGTCTAGCAGTCCAAATACAGACATTATTCATGTCTAAGTACATAACCAAATATAAAATGCAATACATTTCTAGCAACGGTTAGCGTTATGAAATGTCACAAAGACTATGCTGCTGTGAAAAACCTATAAAACTATTGATTTCTAACAATGATAAGCATTATGAAATGTCACAAAAACTATGCTGCAAAGAAAAAACCTATAAAATCTATCAATTGATCATATTAAAAAAAACTAATTTCCAACAAGATATCACATAAAAGTAAAAAAACAAACACCAGCATATCAAGTAAAAATTAAGGAAACAACACGCCGGCACAAAAACAATAGTTTGAAGTTTCCGAGCTCTTGATAAGTTCCTGACTCCAGAATTCCCAAAACGGTAAAATGTGAACTTAAGGGAGTTCTCATGCTTCTTAGGGATACAACAACAACAACAACAATGGCAATTGTGCTCTGAAGATAATGGAGAGTTTTTACCAAACCTGATGTTTACCTCTCACTATTTGTCTTTACAGTTTACATACACAGTTAAGCACACATCAAGCAGAATATAAAACCACAAATATTAATCATAAGATAGAACAATATAATGAGAAGCAACTTTTTTGTTAAGCAGAAAACTTACAAGTTAATCTGATCCATCACAGAAGCCATAACGGACCGAAATGCCAGAGGTAATGAAGATATTGTATAAGGGGATTTATTCCTTTCTAAAAGAGAGACTGGAATCCAGGATTCATCTTTAGATATCTCTTCTGTAGTAGCTCGCATCCATGTACAAAGCCTCAGTATGTAAATTTTTGTAATCTCACACTGTAGTGTCCGCAATGCTAAAACTGTCAAATAAGAACAGAAACATTTTATGAAATTGCAGACTTATAACAAGCAAACTAGGCAACCAAAAAAATAATACCAGCGCTTGGAGGTGCACATTCTTTTACTTCAAAAGCTTGACATGCTTTACATATCTCTTTTATGGCATCACTCATGTATGGACGAAGAACATTGGGTTCTTCAAAATCACGAAATGTGCTATGGACCTGCCACGATAATTAACACTTTAACAGATACTCTATTCGTAAAGAAAAAAGGCAGTGTATACACAAACTGACAATAGATCTCAGGAATATGCAACAGGGAGTATTTAGCACCTTAGACTCATAGAGCATGAGAGTATCCTGCAGCATCCCAGCAACTTCGTCAAGAGAGTGACTAGAGTACTTTACATCTCCTGCTTTCTCTTCAGCTTTGTTTGCAGCAGTACTTACGCTTGAGTCAGGAGCTACCTGGGAAGACTACAAAACATGAACTATTTCAAGAGTGACAAAAAGAAAAATATACATAAATTTATAAACGAAGCTTTACATTTCAAAGAAAATGAGGCAAGATAGCCAATATTTAATTTCAGGCACACTAAAATGTTAAAACAGCCATTTAGTGAGACCACTAGTCACAACACAATCACGCTGGTGCATTGTTAAGAACTGAAAGACACAACTAGTCCACTACTTCAATTTACCTGTATGTAAGCATCTAAAGTACGCATCTATTACACATCTAATAATATAAGGACTCGATACAGCAGTGTGATACCTTAGCAAATTTGCCACTGAAAACTGAAACAGCCACTTTCCAGAAGGCTGGGACATGATGGATGATTACAGCAGTTAACCTGCATATATATTTCTCTCTGAGAGCGTCAACATCTTTGCCTTTCAAGTCATACAATTGAATATCACCCAGCAAATGTGTGTCTCCAGATGAAAGAGAGTAATCGACATCCGCCTGTTTGTTTTATAATTTAAACAAACAAATAGAAAACAAAATAATAGATGACAACAGCAAACTCCACTCAACTAGCAACTGGCTCATCAGCTTTGCTTACAGATTGATTTGAATTCTGCTGAATTTGCCTCCATTTTGCATCAGATAAAGCTTTACTGCGCATTTGATTTAGCAAATTTTCCATCCTTGTTTCATGATCAAAAGTGCACTTTTCAAGCAAGCCTCGAATTCTATGGTTCTGTCAAAAATAAATTAAACAAATGAACTAAGAAAGACCACATTCCATATGTAAAACTTAGACGATAAACATTGGGAAAGCGCTTCAAAAGAGAGCAAAAGACTCCAAAGATAAATCAAAAGCTAATTCTTGGATTTTACAAAAAAAGACGTATTTCTGAGCTTGATATTTGCATCAATTTAAGATGCAGAAATGTAAATACAGTAAGCTTATGTTTTCCAGTTAAAAACATATAGTTGCACATTTAGCCCAATGTAATGGAATTCATATCATACAAGGTTTGGTTAGAACTTTCTAACCTGTATATTCAGATAATGCCACACAGGATCCGACTCAGGTTCCAACTCCAATAAAAGCCTCACGATATTTTCAAGCTACATGAAACATTAAAAGAACAATAATTAGAAAATACTACACTTCATTAACCTTTTAAAGCTTATCATCTCATCATGTAACAATATTCAAAAATGATGATATCATACAACCAATAAAGCATTACTCTTCTTTGGACATCCTTTTACCAACAATATATATTGCTATAGCAAATTGTACAAGGACTTTACATTTGTTAGGTCGATGTTTGGGTCTTCCATGGACTTGTATAGCATTGCCTTGAACTCCTGCATTACTTTTTCAACTTCCTCAAGTACACGCTTTAGGATGCCAACCTAAAAATGAAACAGAAAATGAATTAATGGAAACGACAGGTGAAATAACAGCTTATAGGTACAAGTGAATTTACAGCTAAGCCTGTTAAACAATGAAAGAACTATTGTAATAGTGTAAAACTCAACAAATCAAGAAAAAAATGTACATGGAAAGATAGAATAAGTGCCCATTTGGTGACCCCTGGTTTTCAGCTTATCAGACTTATCGGCCAACTTTTTCACCAAACACGTAACTTTTGATTTCACAAGCTGAATTATGTAATAATAAGAAAAAGTAAGATTGAAGTTACTTTTTTGGCTGTGTATTGGCTGAAGTTACTGTATATGATCATTTTAGTTGTTTTTTCATGCAACTTTATCTTTATTTTATTAACAAAATATATTTCAAACTGTTAGGGATCGACATATTAGACTAATAAATAGGAGAGTTAGTTAGTTATATTTCTCTTTGAGCTGTTAACTAGAGTAGGTTGTACTGGAAGGCTATAAAGAGAAGAGTGTGGGAAGGAGAAGGTAGGCTTTTGGACTCTTTGTCTTGGGACTTGGGAAGACTGAGACTAATAATCTCTTTCTTTGGGGAGTTTCGGCTTTTGGGGGCCTCGGCCTTAGTTTCTTGTTACTGTTCTTGATTCAATAAAGTTTCTTGATAAATTTCTGTAAATTCCTCTATTCTGGTGCGTGATCCTAACATTGGTATCAGAGCTGTTACATCCTGGAGACAAAGAATCTGAATCATGGAGGAGGAATTCTACCTGACACCGAAAATGGAAAAGAGTTTTGATAATATTGACCGAATTATGAGGGAGACACAAGCGAGTATGGTCGCTATGCAAGAGGCGATGAAAGCTAGCGTTGCAGATTTGCAGAACCGACTTCAAAGTCGTTCGAGGAATAAATCGCACACTTCTGATACGTCGCATCAAGAACCGAAGCTTGGAAAGGAACATGGAGATCGATCGAGCAACACCAGGCATCATCGTCCCTGTGACAAGCCGAGTCCGTCGCAATCGCTCACTAAGTCGCAGAAGGAATCGCAGGAGCCGCTAACTGTTTCGCACTCGCGAAAGGATTTGAACGGAAATTTGGGAAAGATCGCGGAAACGATGGAGCGCTTAAAAGTGGAGAAGGAGACAAGCTTAAAACCGGAGAAAGAAAATCGCTCAAACCTGGAGAAAGAGAAACGCTACAGCAGGGATAAGGAGAAGCGTGAGAAGAGCAAAGAACATCACCGGCGAGGAAGATCGAGGAAGGTACGTCGCTGTATAAATTCGAAAAGCCAAGGTTCATTGCAGTTGCCAAATTCTTCTGGTCTTCTGGTTTCTACGCGAGCGGAAGGCTCCAGTTTGAAATCTCCATCCGAATCCCCAGGTTCACAACAGGAGTTGATTATTCAACCGCAACCATCCACCGCAGATAGGCTCACCTATGGCGAAGAGGGAAGCAAGGAGAAATCTTCAGTTAGTCTTGGACCTGAAGAGGGAGCAATTACTCGCTTCCTCACTTGTAACCATCCCTGCAGGTACGAGCTCGTTAATTCAGAATTGGAAATCAACATGATGATGTCCAGTGAGCCTTCAATTGATGACTACATTCAAGTCAAGAAATACCCGGATGGGAAGTCAACCCCTATATCTCAAGGGAAGGAGGTGTTTCTTGTAACTGGGATGAAGTGGTTGATCCATTTGGGGAAATTTGAGGGAGTTTCTTTTTGGAAAACACGCAAGGGATACTGCTACATCAATGGGGATTCTAGGCCTCATGATTTATCCAGACTGAAGAATAGCAGCAAAGATCGGAGTTCTTTTAGAAAAAGTGAACTTCCTTCATCTGACAGGATAGGATGGAACCAAAGAATTATGGCTGAAGTACTTGGTGATGCAGGAGCTAACTTGGCATTCTCATCCATACAGTGTTGCTGGGTTTCTGTGTTGCTTCATACTAGCAAAGATTGTGCCATTTGGAAGATATCCTGGGTTCTTCCGCTCTCTGTTTCAAGGCACCAGGTGAAAATGGACTCTCCTTTTGAGAAATGTGCAATGGCAGAAAGTTTTTGGTGGGGAATTTCTATGGAAGTTGTTTGGTGGAATGATGTCGGGTGTACTCAAAGTGTGGCAGAGGGTGGCATTGTTATACTGAAAAGCATCATGACAGTCAATCATAACTCACCGGGAGAAAAGTCAAATGGAGCTAAAGCAATTTGTAGTTCAAATTTTTCTGATAAGCAGATTAAAAGGGATAAGAATCCTGATGTTCAGGACATGAACGCAAATTCTGCTACTGTTGTAAGGGATATACCTCAGGAAAGCATGAAAATATTTGTGGCTATGGAAGGCCTGAAGACTAAGGAAGAGCATGAAACTTCAATAGAAATATTATATGCTGCAGAAACATTTGTGAGTTGTAAAGATCAAGTATTGAAGCTCTTTGCTCAGAAACCAGTGAAATATTGGGAAGGTAGAAGTGCCAAGATGAAGAGGAAGCGGAAGATCTTGGCTGTTTCCTATCACCCACCTTGAGGGCAAGGTGGATGTTTAGGGGGGAAGTATTGTTAGGGATCGACATATTAGACTAATAAATAGGAGAGTTAGTTATATTTCTCTTTGAGCTGTTAACTAGAGTACATTGTACTGGAAGGCTATAAAGAGAAGAGTGGGAAGGAGAAGGTAGGCTTTTGGACTCTTTGTCTTGGGACTTGGGAAGACTGAGACTAATAATCTCTTTCTTTGGGGAGCTTCGGCTTTTGGGGGCCTCGGCCTTAGTTTCTTGTTACTGTTCTTGATTCAATAAAGTTTCTTGATAAATTTCTGTAAATTCCTCTATTCTGGTGCGTGATCCTAACACAAACATAATTTTTTCATACATAACTAGAATCAGTCAATCCAGCCACTTCAGTTAGAACTTCATAAATTTCAGCAGAATCAACACATACAGTTGATTTGGCCATTACCAAACGGGCTCTAAAGTTCACAATATTCAAAAGTCATTAATTAACACTAGATACCTAGATGATGACCTTTTCCTTACATGTACATGAGTGATACTAGATTTAAGAAAAAGCTCTTAGACAAACCATTTCCTAAATTAATAGAAATCAGGTTTGTAGAACACATTAAAAAGGGGTCTAGATTAACAAGGTTCTAGAAAAAATCATCACAAATCCCATTGTCATATCAATTTTTTCAGCTTGGGTTCTTATTCTGAACTGATGAACTTAAGTGGTGATTATGGCCTCAACAACAATGATGGAACCCGAAGTAGAAAAAAAAACTATGTGCATAAGAGAAGCTGGTAGAAGATGGATTGGTTAGTATTATAACATATGATAATGATAAAAGTGATGTCTATGAATGGGAGTAATAAATGTTTTTCTGAAGAAAAAGACAAAATCTGACAAAACTTCCATAGTCCATACATGAGAAGGCAGAACAATTGACTTCGCTTTCCTGTACTCCCTTACTGCCAAGTCATATTCACCGCTGCTAATGCTCTCACGGATCGTACTGGGTAAATTAAATAACGTTCGGAACCTTTGAAGCATTCCCTGAACAGACCTTATCTTCTCAGCTTGAGCCTACACAAAGAGCATTGTCTTTATGATTTGTAAAAGACAAGAGTTAAGAACTTTCTTTAAACCCCCATCCATCTAAATAAAATGTGCGACTTTAACAAAGAATGCCAAACTCCATTACAGCCTACCTGTCTTTCAAATAGAGATTCAAAAGCACGATTAGCGATTGAACTGACTCCCTGGATACAGTTAAATAAGTGAGATGTTCCAGATCCTTCAGGATCTTCCTCAATCCGCCTCAATTTTGATTCAATGTCTGTAACCGGAAAAGTTTTTTCATGCTCATCAAAGTCTTCCTTTAAATAGAAAGGGGTAAATACGAACTGCAATAGATATAAAGTGAACTTACCATCAATTGTAGTTTTGCAAGAAATAAAGCAATCAAAATTTTCTTTGACCAATTGCTTTTTCTGCTGAGTACGTCCTTTAAGATCAGATTTCAAAGAAAGAGCACCAGATTCCAGGTCTGCTGCACTAGTATTTTGGTGAATTCGGGATAAAAACAACTTTGGATCAAAGTTGTCAGAGAAGAAATTCAACCTCTCTGCCAGGTTCAGAAGTTAATTGTCAAACACATGACTACGAAATATCTATGATAAAATACAACCATGCAAAGTCTGTTCCAAAAAATATAACCTAATTATTATCATGTAAGACCATTCACATAACTGCTCTGCACACTGTATCAGTTAATGCATACAACAACAGCATCCAAGCCTTTTTCCCAAAAGAGGTTGGGGTGCGCTTACATCAATCAACAATTCAACATATGACATCAGAGTCATTGGCTATGCTTTCTAAACTATTACTACCTCCATCCCTTTTTATTTAGTCATATTTGACTTTTCCGGTCAAAAATGATAAACTTTGATTCATTATTTTAACTAATATATTTATGTGAAACTTAATAAATTTATACTTTTATGATAGAATTTTTAACAAAGAACATTTTCATATCATTTTCATATTTTCAAAATTACCGTGTATAAATACATAATCGGTCAAAGTTTAACATCATTGACTTGAAAAATAGTGTCTGGCTAAATAAAAAGGGACGGAGAGAGTACAGTAGATGTTCTAGTTAAATGCCAACATCCTTGACTGGGATGGGTTTCAACCCTGTGACCTCATTGGGAGTGCCACAGTGATGCCATTGAACCACAAGGTACTTGGCACATATGATATCGGAGTTAAAACACTAGATAAAGTGAAATGGTTTTATGTATAAATAATAACATCCTACTCCACCAGAGAAAAGAAGTAAACATAAACAGATTTTACTAACGCAGATTCATATATTGTACAAGGGAAGGACAATAATAACAAATAAGCAATCCAATTGAATATATAGGACATCATCATTGAATTTATTCAACATGTCTGCCATATTATTTAGGTTTTCCAAATTTGATAAATATATTATGTAATTGACGGAGGGCTCATTATTTGAGTAACTAGTAACAGAAACTGAACAAACTGTCCAACGCAATTAAAGTAATCTTGTGTTGGAAGAAAATAATTAATAAATACCACGAATATCAGGATTTGAATGATCTCTATCACCAATTGATGGAGAGCTTGTAGAATGCTCAGTGATCAATCTCAAGGTTTTATTGTCAATAATCCTGTAGGTTCATAGAATTTTAGAATATCGATTTAGGATGACATGCGCATGTAAGTATTGGCATCCACACAGAGACCGCATAGAGAAATTACAATACCCCAAACCAAGAGGATCTATACACTCCATGCCACGAGGAAATGACTGTAAGGTGTTAAGTCCCTTTTTCGCTAATGCTGTCGGATCCGGCATAACCTTCGGTTGAACAACAGGAACTGCTCTTGTCTCCCTCATCTCACGGACCCGACGCCTTAGCTGCCAGTAGTTGAAATTTCATAAGTTGGGCAATGCTTAGAATTACAATCAGAGCATACTATGAAACTCAAATAACCACTCCCACTCCCACCCACCACATTCATTAATTTAGGGCAGAAGTTTAATTACAATGTATAAGCAACCAAATGTAAATCATACTAAGCATTTCCCCTCAGAGAAAACATCAGCAACATGAATGTGCATAAGAGCACAGAACTTAACAAGAATTAACTACTTATAGCGTGAATAAGATGTTAGGCAACGGCGTGTAGCTCAAAATATCTACTATAAGTACGCAAATTAATCAGCAATTACCCTTGGAAACAAATTCAAGAAATGGCATAAAGATGTAGGAGAAGGAAAAAAGAGAAGGAACAGTAGAGAACAATGTCACTGAGGCGATTGGATACCTCGGCCTCGTCAACATGTTTCCAGCAACCAGGCTCGTCACCATCCCACGCCCTATCTTCGTTCTTCCCACCTCTCCCACGGCTCGCGGCACGGCTTGCATCCCCGAAACCGCGGTCCTTGGAAGAGTCCTCGTCCCCGGAGGAAATGCTGAGCATCTCCACCTCCGAATCATCGTCTTCCTCCGCTGGCTTCTTCTGCTTCTGCTGCATCGTCGCGTTGGGAGGAATCGTCCTTCCCGCTGCTGCTGCCGTAGGCTGAGGAGGTGGCTGGACGTAGTTGCGTACAGGCTTAGACGGCTGCTTAGCACCAGGCCTCTGGTAGTTAAGATCGCGCTGGGATTGCTCTCTCAATGCGATCTGCAACAGCTCATCCTCGTCCAAATCATTACTGTCGCTTGACATTTTTCCGCTATTTTAATTCTTATTATTATTATTTTGTACAGATTTAATTTTAAGTTTAATAATTGTGTCAAAAATATACAGGAGGTTTTCTTTCCTACTCCGTATAGAGTACCCAAACAAAGTCAGAATTCTGAAAATTAAGATAGTAAGGTTTCTGGATTTGGATCTGTGAGGCTGATGACTAGTAGCTGTTAAGGAGGGAATCGTCCATGAATCATAATCATGATACAGTATTTCAGCCTCAGGTAATCAGATGAAGAAAGGGATTGGGGTTGGCCGCTGAAAAATACTCCGGATTGAGTTGGGAATAATTTTTAGCACAGTAAAATAAATGACGGGTGAAATAATAATTCGGTATCCAAAAATGTTTTTTTGCTTTCATTTTTCTAATATTAAAAGTATTCATTTGTTCGGTAAATTATATGGTACACCCGGTTATTTTGTAATTTTTCAGAACTTTTAGGTGTGTTATTATCTTTCTTCTCCGCCTTTTACAATGATCATGCTCTTCAGGTCGGCGCATCTTCTCCAGCGATCATCTTCTCCGGCTTGTTGTGATCTTCCTTCGGTTTGGTTTTGCAGAGATCATCTTCTCCAGCTCGTTGTGATCTTCCTTCGATTTTGGTTTTGCAGCGATCATCTTCTCTAGCTCGTTGTGATCTTCCATCGAATTTTGTTTCCAACGATCATCATTCAAAATATTTCCTCTGTAGTCTTCGAATTTGGTAAGAATCTCATCCTTTTATTGTATTCTTTTGTTTTCTGATCTGCTGTTCTTCATCTATTCTTCGTTATTCTTCACTTATTCTTCGTTAGATTTCTGCAAATTGTTTTTTTTTCTTCAGTATTTTAATATGATCACTAGATTATGAGCTCTTTTTTAATTTACTGTAGGTTTACGTTGATCAGTTATGTCTAATTTTTCAGGTATTTATCTACTAAGCAATTCACTTTATTTGTATGGTTAATTGATAACACATTTTGATGTTATATTTTTGTTTCAATGAGCAATATGTCTATGTATTTGGTTTATCCTTTTTGCAGATGAAATTGCTTGTTCTGGACATGTAATTGAAGAAATTCACTTCAGAGGCGAAATCTTTGTTGTTGATTCGAGTAATTCCTTTTGTTTTTTCTTGTTCTCTTTTTTTTCTGAATTTTATTTGCACTTTTTACTTTTTTCCCTTGATCCAAATCATTTTATTTTAGCTTCAACTTTTGTTTTTTTTTTTGCAGCTAGCCATTCTTCTAGCAGTTTTGATGGTATACCACAATCTGATTCTTCCCTTTTAGTTAAAGAAGCTGAAGTGTCTGAGCTTCTTGGAAAAAATGTTCTGTCAAATAAAGAAGCTTTTGATTTGTATGACGAGTATGCTTTTAGGATTGGCTTTGGCATTCGTTATTCTACTCTACGGAAGAAAGAAGGTTGTTGTGATGTTAGAGGCAGAGAATTTTGTTGCACTAAACAAGGTTCTAAGAAGAATAAAGGTGTACATGGTAAGGTTTTCACCAAAGTTGATCGTCGTACAGGTTGCAAAGCTAAAATTTATTTTGAGTTTAGAAGCAACGGTGAATGGGTTGTGGTTAGACATCTTATGGATCACAATCACTCTTTCTGTCCTGGTTCTTTAGTTCATCATGTGAGGTCTCATCGTGATGTTTCTTCTTCTGAGTTGACATATTTGAATCATTTGAGAAATAGAGGAGTAAAAATAGCTGACGGTTTTCGTTGTTTACAAGCTGAAGCAGGTGGCTCTCCTTCAATTGGTTTTGTGTTGCGCGATGTCTACAATGAATTGGAAAAAAACAAAAAAAAAATGTTTTGAAGGTTGTGATGCAAATACTTTGATTAATATCTTTAGGAACAGGCAAACAAATGAAGAAGACTTCTTTTTCTCTTTTGAAGTTGATGTTGATGGTTCCTTAGTTAGCTTCTTTTGGAGAGACAAACAAATGAAAGAGGACTATTTAGCATTTGGAGAGTTGGTTGTTCAGGACACTACATATCGTACAAATAAGTATGATATGATTTGTGGTCCTTTTGTAGGTGATAGAGTATATCTAGAGAGAAGTGAGAGCTAGAGAGAGAAGTGCAATAATATGCTTCAATAGAATGATTTCGTAACCCCTATAACTACTCCCAAGGGGAGTATTTATAGAGAAAATTAGGGTTGGGCTCCCAAGCCTTGGGCTTGGGAGGCCCATTTACAACTGGACCGCTACTGGGCCGAATACAAAGCCTCTAATGGGCTGTACAAATGAGTAAGTATAGAATCCGATTCTGGGAGGTCTTCGTGGCCGACGAGGGCGTGGCCGACGAGGGCACAGCCGACGAGGGCGCGGCCGTCGAGGGCACCCGAGTTCCTTGGGCTCAGGACCGTAATCTGAGTTGGCCCCTTTTCGGCCGACGGGGGCGTCTTGGCCGACGAGGGCGCCACTCTGTTGTCTTGTGTTTTCTGTTCTTCCGAGTATGTGGGTCCTGGGGCTCAGACCCATATACTCCATCAGGAGTCCCCCACTCTCTAAGCTGAGACGTAGACGAAGCGAAGGAGAGTAGATCCCTGTGCTTTGTTGCCCTTGGCCGATGCGGGCATCCCCGGGCCGTTAGCCGTTGCGGCGTTGGCGTTGTTTCCTCTTGGGTGATCCTGTTCTGTGCTTTGGCCGTTACCTGTCCTTCGCTGTGGGCGGGGAGGCCGTTGTTTCCTTAATGTGTTTGAGGATGATGACTGTCTTGTTTCAATGTCGGCCGTTGAAGGCGCGCTTTCCCTTTCCTGGACGTTGGTGGTTGAAGTTTATGTTTGGGCCGGTGAGGCCGTTGGGGTTGTTCCTTGCTTTGAGGACGATGGCGTCCTTTCCTTTGGGTGGCCGATGAGGGTGCTCGCGCACTCCTTTTGGCCGTTGCTGGCTGGCCTTCGTGTTCTTGGCCGAAGGGCCCGTCAAAATTAATTGTTGGCGGAGGACGATGAGTGTCCTTACCTCTAGTGGCTTGTTGGCCATCGCTAATGACGTTATGGGCCTTTGGCCGATGAGGTTCCGTTGTGCTGTGTGGATGATGTGGCCATGTTTTGTGGTTACCTTCATGTTCTTTGCATTGTTGCTGTTTGTTTCGTTGAGGCCGATGTAGTCCCCCAGTCCCCCACTGCTTCAGGCCGAAGAGTGTGAGGGGTGAAGGAGTTGCTTGAGTCCATGGCCGAAGCGGCCTCTCCGTAGTCCCCCTGAATCCAACTCTCATGGCGATTTTCTGGCCAAGGTAACCCTGTGGGAGAACCCTTGTGCGCAGATCGCTTGTAGAGAGTTATCATCAAAGGTTAGTACGAGGAGCCGATGGCTGTGGGCTTCTTTGTTCATTTTGTTCTGTGGCCGTTATAGGTGTTTGTTACGTTCCTGGTCATTGCCGTCTCGTTGTTGTTTGGCAGTTGTGATCTTGGTGAGCAAGTGGGACGTTGTGGGCGCTTGCTGGTACTTGTAAAGCCGGCAAGTGTGTAGGCCGTAGAGTCCGTCTTGCCAATGGGCTGTTGATAGAGTTTGGCCCGTTGGTGACGTGGTGGTCCCCCATTGGTGGCCGTTGGTGTGGCCATTGGGGGGTGCCACGTGTAGTGACCGTTGGGTGAGGGGTTCTATAAATACCCATCCCCCTCCGACGAGGAAACGTATTTCCATTCTGAATTTGTCGAAGTGCTGGCCGATTTTCTAGAGAGATAAACTCCCAGCCTGTTCTTCGTTGTTCAAGGTTAGTGTTCATCGTGATCTTCCTCACTTTTCATACTTTGCTTCCTAGGTTGTTGATCTAGTGTTAGGCGTTTGAACACCATTAGATCTTAAGTTAGTCTCCTTAGGCCCGTAGTAGTAGTTATGAAGAGCTTGAACGACGACTACTACCCCTATGACGACCAGCCCTCCACGAGGTCGCTTGACTACGAGGTGCTCGAGGAGTTTGAGGAGGAGATAGAGCGCTTAAGTCCATACAAATCAGGAGGGCCAGTGGACGAGGAAGGCGAGGACGAAGAGTCCGCCTCCTCTTCAAAGGGTGAGGACGTAGGTGCGTCCCGAGTGGTGGACGGGGCGTCCACTTCTGCTGTCATTCCGTGCCCGAGGCCGGTGTCTGCTGTGAAGGGAGCAGCTAAGCCGAAGAGAGTGAGGAGGCCGAAGAGTGGGTCGGGCACTTCCCAGTTGGATCTCACCAACATCTTCCTGATCAAGCCGGAAAGCAGTGCGGCCGACTATCTCGTTGCCCAGATGTACGTGGGGCCGTTCGGGCGGGTTAGGGCACCCAGGCCGACGGACCATGTTCTTCTTCCGCCACCGGGATACTTTGGAGTATACCCGATGAGTTTTGCTAAGGGGTTGAGGTTCCCCCTTCACCCTTTCATTACCGAGTACCTGGACATGGTAGGGCTTCCTCCGGCCCTGCTGACGCCGAACAGCTACTCCCTGATGGTGGGGTTTTTGCTCCGGTGTGAGGAGTTGGGCTACAGGCCGACGACGGCACTATTCATGAATCTGTACCAGATCGGCCGGGGGAGTCACAAGAACTGTGCGGCCTATGCTACTCTTCAGCAGCTGCCGAAGAAGATGAGCTTCACGGATTTGCCTACGTCCATTCATGGGTGGAAGAGCAAGTTCGTGTTTGTGTCCATTGGTGCAAGTGGCACTGAGTTTCCCTCCCTCGGCCACACCGGGAGGTTTAACCTGCATGACCCGCCGAAGAGCTCTATTTTGGACGCTCAGGTGGAGGCTTTCTTGGAAGGGGGGCCGAGGAGCGTGAAGGATTACATCACTGAATACAAGATGGCCGCCCTCGGCTTCGTGAGGTACTATGTCTATGGTGACAAGGAGGATGACCTCCAACTCTGGCCGAGGATGACCACCACCTTTGAGGAGGCCGACGGCCCGGACTTGGGCATTCCTGCTGAGGCCGATGGTAATTCTTTCTTCGGCTTTCTGTCTTTATGTTTTGTCCTTTGCCTTACTAATCTGTTTGTTTTTCCTTTGTAGATTTTGTCATGGACCGTCGTTCCATGATGGCTATTGCCAAGGCCAAAGCGGCCAAGGAGATTGCTGCTAAGGCGGCCGAGGCGGCCAGACGTGCCGTGGTCGGTGGGAGCGGGGCTACTGCTGATGCGGCCCCAAAGCCTGCTCCATCGAAGAAGAAAAGGCCGGCCACTGACGGCCAGAAAAAGTTGACTGAGGCTGGCGTGAGCGTCTCTAAGAAGACGAAGAGGGCTCCTTCCCCTTCTCCGGCTAGTGAGGCCGGTACTCTTACTGTCCCCAGTGTGGACGATGGTGGTCCCGTCGTGGACCTTACTGTTGCTGACGATGCTGCCCCATCGCTTCCTCTCGTCCAGGAACCACGGACGCAGAGGGCCGGCAAGGAGATTGCCGGTGCCACCTACCAGAAGGTGGTAGAATACCCCGTCGGCGGGGGCGTGTTTAATGATCTCGTCCCTGGCCACGTCGTCCTGGCCAAGGCCATGCCGGCCAAAGATCGGGCTCACTTGAAGAAGCTCGAGGACCCGAAGATTTACGAGGGCGGCATGGACCTCCTCGTCCAAGTAAGTTACTGTCCTTATATTTTTGTTTCTCTCTTCATCTGTGTAGAGTCTTTTGCCTGACCTTTGTTTTCCTTCTGCAGAGTGCCTTTATGCTTATGGAAAGCCATAAGAGGCAGTATTGGGAGATAGCTCGCTTGAAAGAGCTGGAGCAGAAGGCTGCCTCGGCCGAAGAGGCGGTAGCTTGCCTTGATCGGCTCCGGGAGGATGCCAAGGCATTGCAGGCAAGGGCTGATGAAGCCGCCGCAGCCAGGGACGATGCCCTGGCCAAGCTCGAGGAGAGCAAAAGGGAGCTCGAGGAGTCCCACAGGGCGCTTGAGGCCGAGAGGCGCAGGAGCGAGGAGGCCGCCAAGGCGAAGGCTGAGGCCGAGGCCGCCGTCGTGAAGGCTGCCGATGAGGCCGTCGAGAAGTTCCTGGCCGAGGGGTGGAAGGCCGATGAGAGGCTCCCCTGGTGCTATGAGGTGGTGGCCGCCAGGCTTGAGAGTTGGGGGATGAACTCCCCCGCCGGCCAGGAGTATTTCACCCGGGAGATGTCTGTGTACTATAACCTGGGTCAGGAGCGGATGCAAAGGCTCCTGTGTCGGCGGCTGTCCCGGGCGTTGAAGGCCATGAATTACACGTCTGGGTGGGCTAGACGGAACCTGAAGCTGCCGAAGCTGATGAAGGATCCAGAAGAGCAGACCAAGCTTCCGCTGTCGGAGCGAGAGTCCCCCATAGAAAGCTCCGGCCTCGGCGAGCCGGATTACACCGAATTTGATTTTCTGGACGACGCCACCAGTGCTGCACCCGCCGACGGCCAGGAGACTGAGGCCGAGGAGGGAGCTGACGAGGTCGAAGAGCCAGCCACGGACGGAGGTGCCCCGGAGGCTTGACCGGCTACTCCCTGCTCCTTTGTGATTTGCTTTTCATTTCTTTGTCTAACTGATGTAATGGCCGAAGCGCCCCCAATTGTAATGATTTGATTGAATGAAAGAATTTTTGCCGTCTTTCTCGGCTTTGAGTCCATTGTATGCTTGTTTGCCTTTTGTCATTTCGATTCTGTAAATTGTCTAAGTGTCAAGTCATAACTTGGGTCACCCGCGAGTGTCCGCTACGTCCGTGAGGTTGGCCTTCCTGTCCGGTAGTCTGGTCGGCCTGTTCATCTTTGCTTTACTATCATAACACTTAGGATTTTTTTTAAAAAAAAAAAATTCCCAAGTGTTTTTGGGTTTTTACAGTTGCTTCCTTGTGGCATGGTGGCCTTGTCGGCTTTTGGTCCTTTTGCTCGTGATCGTGGTGTCCGCTACGTCCATGGGGTTTAGTCTCTCCCCATTATTGGCAAATGGTTGGGGTGACTTGCCAAGTGTTGAACCAGTGTCATTGTCGGCCTGCATCCCTGTGTTGTGGCCGACAAGGGCACGTTCGCCATAGTCTTGTGGACTTTGAATTTTTCCCAAGTACATATACAAGGCGTAGGTAGCTAACGGCCTTGGAATATATATGTACCCGCTTCGTCCAGAATTCTTCCATTTGAGTACTTAGGTAAATTTCGAGTGCCTGCGTCGGCCATCCGAGGTGCCGTGGCAAGTAGGGGTTGTTTCTTGTTGCTTGATCCTTTCGCGGGTGTGATAAGTGCCCGCTTCGTCCTGGTCATCCTCAGGATTGCGATGCCTTGTTTCATACCAGGCGTTGGTGCCTCAAAGGACTATGGCCGATGAAGGTCACCTCTCGCGTGTCACCCAACCGATGCGGTTAGGGTTTTGTAGGCGTGTGTTTCAGCCTTGATTATACCCTTGTAGTGTGTGGACGTGTCGTCCATGTTACCTGTCAGTGGTACTACACTTGTGTTCTACTGATATGTACTTGGCCTAGTTGGGCCTGAGTTGTGGGGATTTTATTTTTTCATTGCTCGAGGCCGGCAAGTGTGCGCGGCCGTCGGCTTCCCTCTTTTTCCCTTGTATATATTTTTTTTTCGTTTCGGGGGGTATCCTTCTTTCAGGCTTCGGCCGAAGGGTGTGCTCGTCCTTCGGCCGGTACGGACTTCGTTTATAACGTCCGTGGTCTCAGGGCGGGTCCCGTCGCCTATTTATGACGCGGGCTAGACTTTTGGTCGGTTTCCAACGGCTGTCGTTGCCCATCCCTGAGTTTTGGGATTTTGTCACCTCGGCCATGATTTCAAGCCTGTCGTCCTGCGTTCTGGCGCGTGGACGACGCGGTGAGCTTCCCGTGTCAAGACGTGGGCCGTTTGCAGGCCCCTCGTCCTGGGGACATCGTCGGCCATACCTGAGTGTTTCACTTCTAGGCTTACGGGGCCAGGACGATGTGCTCTCTCAGCTAGGCCTGAGCCCTTCGCTGATACAAAATACAATGGAGTGCCTGAGCTTGTCGCTCGTAGGCTGCGAATGCAAGGGGCCATGTCGGCCAGACCTGAGCCTTTCGCTCTAAGGTGGCCGACGAGGGCACCTACTAAATGTTTTACTTTGAATTTCCAGAGAAAAAATCAGAACATGATTTTATTCATAAGTGGCTCGAGGCCGAGGGTGGCGTTCAATCAGTAACCCGTTAAGGGGTGAGGGCTTCGCCGTCTACACCTCCTTCGGATTACTGATAAAACTTCACCAGATGGTGTACATTCCATGTTCGTGGTACATTGGACCCATTCGGGCGTTTAAGCTTGTAGGTGCCGGGTTTGACCACGGCACTGACGATGTAGGGCCCTTCGTACTTCAATGCTAGCTTGCCACCCTCTGTCGGCTGGCTTGCTTCCCTCCGGCGGAGGACGTAGTCCCCCACCTGAAATTCCCGGGAACGTACCTTGGCGTCATAGTATGATTTCACTTGACGCCGGTAGTTCTCTGCTCGGACGTAAGCTTGCTCACGCCTCTCATCAACCAGGTGTAGGTCAATCTTCATGTTTTCTTCGTTGGTGTCAAGCTCGTACTGTTCCACTCGCCGGCTGGGGATGGCAACTTCCGTGGGCGCCTTTGCTTCAAAGCCGTAGCACAGGGCGAAAAGGCGTTTCACCTGTCGCCCTCCTCGGTGTGGTTCTGTAGCACCACAGGATGTTGGGGAGCTCGTCGACCCAACTACCTCCTGCGGCCTGGAGGTTCTTCTTCAGTCCCTCCATAATTGTTCTGTTGGCGTTCTCGACCTGCCCGTTGCCCTGAGGATAGGCAACGGAGGAGAAACGGTGCCTCACCCCAAACTCCCGGAGGAGCTCCTGGAAAGGGGCTGCCTCGAATTGGGTGTCGTTGTCTGATATGATCTCCTGGGGGACGCCAAAGCGTGTGATGATGTTCTTGTAAACAAATTTTTGGCATCTGGCCCCCGTGATGCTGGCCAAGGGTTCCGCCTCGACCCACTTGGTGAAGTAGTCGACGGCGACGATGATGTAGCGGTTATTCCCGGCGGCTCTGGGCAGGGGGCCGACCAGATCAATCCCCCATCTGGAGAATGGAATTGCGGTGCTGACAGGGGCATAGTTGACAGCTGGCCGACCAGGGGCCTTCTGGAGTACCTGGCATGTGGTGCACTTTCTGGCTAGGTCAGCGCAGTCGCGTGCCATCGTCGGCCAGAAGAAGCCCTGGACGACGAGACACCGGGACATGCTGAAAGGGCCCTGGTGTGAGGAGCAGACGCCACAATGAACTTCTTCCATGGCTGTGTCGGCCTCGTCCTGGTGTAGGCACCGGAGGAGGGTGCCATTGTAGGACCGTTTGTAGAGTTTGCCCTCTTCGATGGTGTAGCTTGGGGCCCTGAGTTTGGCAAGTTTGGCCCTCTCCTCGTCCTGGGGCAGCTCCCCCGTTGTGATGAAGGTGGCGATGTCGGAGATCCAGTCCTCTGGTCGCTGTTGGACGCACAAGACGGGGCTGGCATGGATGCTGGACATGCTCAACTCCTCGATCTTGGCCAACTGGGAGATGTGCTCCGGGGTGTCCGAGCTGAGCTTGGAGAGGATGTCGGCTTCAGCGTTCTCGGCCCTTGGGATCTGGGTGATCTCGTGGGTTTCAAACGCTTTCAGCAACTCCTCCGCCGCTTGTCTGTACTGCTTCATCCGGCCTTCCTTGGCTTCGTATGATCCCTCCACCTGGCCCACTACCAGTTTGGAGTCGCACTTGATTTTGAGGTGCTTGGCCTTGAGGCCGACGGCGAGTCTGAGACCGCTGAGGAAGGCCTCATACTCGGCTTCGTTGTTGGATACCCTGAAGTTAAAGCGGATAGCGTAGTAAGCTCTGAACCCTTCAGGGGATATGAGGACGACGCCGCCGCCGCATGATTTCGCGGCTGACGAGCCGTCAGTGAACAGGGTCCACGTGTCGTCCGGCTCCGGCCCGGGGTTGGCGACGGCCGTCTCCCTTGCTGTGCATTCAATGACGAAGTCGGCCAAGGCTTGCCCTTTGATGGATGGCCTTGGCTTGATTTCAATCTGAAACTGGCTGAGGAAGATCGCCCATTTCACCATCCTCAAGGAGCTAGTGGGGCTCCTCATGAGTGCGCCAAGAGGCTGCTGGGTCAGCACATGGACGGTGTGGGCTTGGAAATAGTGCCCCAGCTTCTTCACTGTGTGGACGATGGCCAGCACCGTCTTCTCAATGGGGGAGTACCTGAGCTCGGCCTCCCTGAGTGTCTTGCTGATGTAGAAGATGGCCTTCTGCACCCCTTCGTCCTCACGGATGAGCACGGAGCTGATGGCCGACGTGCTCACCCCTAAGTACAAGAAGAGGGTTTCGCCGGCTTTGGGCTTGGAAAGCACGGGTGGGGACGACAGGTACCTCTTCAATTCGTCGAATGCTTCCTGGCACTCCGTCGTCCACTTGAAGCTGTTGGCTTTCCGCATGATCTGAAAGAAGGGGAGTGCCCTCTCGGCTGACCTGGAGAGGAAACGGTTTAAGGCCGCCAGGTGCCCCGTCAGTCGCTGTACCTCCTTGACGTTGCGGGGCGGCTCCATGTTGATGATAGCCTGCGTCTTCTCCGGGTTTATTTCGATGCCTCTCCGG